AAGAAAAGATTTGGCATAATGCTCAGGTCGGCAATTAATGGTTGGCAGTTTTATCTCTTTCTAGAGTGATAGCTTTCATTATGGAAGAATGATATTTGAATTTCACACTTTCTAAAGTGACGGTTATCTGAAGATTGTCAACATGTTCATCTTTTGAATTCCGATTACCCTCACGTGTATCTTATCATAACATTTTACGCATAAGTCTTTATTGGTTTACGCTATTGGTGAAATTGTGCCGTCTATGTACGACTATGATATTTTTAATATATCATAGTTCAAAAGACGTTCTCGTCAACTACGGACATACCCAATGTCGTATTCTCGTATTGAAAAACCTACCTCGCAGTCGTGTAATGGTATCAAGGACACTAAACTAATTAAATATTTTATCTGGGAGTGGTATAGCCGGAGTTGTACTGAGACATTTCAGAAATTAACATACTCTCGACTCACATTCACTTTCGACAACTTAGACAGTAGTTTCGTATGGTATGAAAGCAACTTCTAAATCTGTTTGAAAAATCGCAAAGAAAAGCTGTTTACATGTAACGCATTGCCATCTAATTTACATCATATCGTCAAACAAGACATTGTTTTCAGCTTTCATTAATCAATATCTTCTACGCAACATAACATCTACATGGGAGAAGTAAAATGATTACTTACTTATTCAGTTGTTAATCCGGCCCTCTCCAGAAACTTGACCAGTTTCTTAATCTACGATGAATGGCAACTTGAGCAGGCAGCTGGGCAAACACAGGAATGTGATGATTGTTGAAGCATACCAATCAGGGTATACTCTGCCGCTGAGGAGAACGTGTCATATAGCACCAATGACCTACCACGTGACATAGCGAGCAGTCACGTGATATGTTACGCGCGAGAAGTTAATGCCATGGTGTGCAATCGTCTTCATTCCAAACTGACGCCATCTTTCAGTGCTTTTATACAATCAACATTATATTTTATTCATTTAGTTTTTACTTACCTTTTTAAAATAAAATTCACTTTCTGTGAAGCAGACGTTAAATAAACGAAAGAAACAACTCATTTTAGTATCTGAAGTAATCCTTAACTTATTATCTTAAACTCACCTCTAGTTTTTACATAATATTCAGTTAGATTATTTACCATATCTTGTTTTGTGTTTGTACCCGTCGGGCACATCCCATTTGTGAAGCCGATGTTGAATGATGATGTGACACTCCCACTCCAAATAAAGGGGATAATAGAATATAAATATTTCAGATAACACTTACTGTTACCTTTAATAAATCTTTTCCTTGTTATTGTTTTTAATGAATAAAAATAGCTTTTTGGGGTGATTTTTGTGTATCTAAAGATAGTAACCCGGCATGATGAAAGGACAATGTATGAAACGATGAAACAGAAGCAACATATATAACGGAATACGGTTGGTCCTTATAGCCTTCTGTTCTATTTGTAGGAACAGACTAAGCAAGAATGCTTCGCTGTGAACTTAATTTTTTCAGTGAAACCCCTATCAAAATACTACCCTTGTTTCTCTTTTCAAAGATTCTAGTTTTCACCTGTTTTGTCTGGTTTAAATTTAACAGTTTTTATTCAGAAAGGCCATACGCCTTTCATACGACAATTCACTGCAATAATGATGAGAAAAACAGATTGAGTTATATCATTGTAGATACAATTACTGGTAGCTGCATATTATATTTTGGCACTATTTACCACGAAAAGACCAAATCATGAGCAAATTTAACTGAAATGTAAAGTGGCTACTCTTTATATTTATTTTCTTATCTTCCTTGTCTATAATCATATGACATTGCCTATGAAATTTGAATAAATAAACAAATATTTTGTTTTCCCATACCGACTGACGATTGTCGTAGAACAAAGATCGTTTCTACAATAGAGGGCCTCATTAGTAATATTTGAACTAATATATTATATTTTGTAAACGCTTTTGCTGGCTGTGACCAAGGCAAACCATGATGTTTTTAGAAGAATCTGCTTTGTTTAAATCACAATCACTGATCCAAACATGTGCGCCAATATGTTAATCCTTCAATAAGATTATCTTATCGTGAGAAGAAAGGTGCCGTTTATGAACTGTGCGTTGCGACTCAACGTTCAACTGAATTGTGAAAACATTTTAGTATTGGGCAGAGACGTCCACATTATACAAATTCTCACTTCCGTTTAAAAAATCCAAAATGCATATATACTTAGACGTCTGATGGCCAGTTACGTTTGAAACGCGTTGAAAAAAGGCTGTTCATTATCTTGGATCGACTTTTTGCAATGGAAGAGGCATCACTGCATGGAATTTGGTCAGATTCAGGAGAAAGCTCAGGTAAGACCAAATATCTACATATTTTTTTATGTAAAGACATCGGTTTATTTCTGTGTAAATCACCATATAGAGGAGATACATTATCGTTCGATATTATTATATTATGCAAAACATCACACATAAGATTATGAAATGTTTTCCCTTTCTGAGATATTGCTCATATCTGACAAATATACATACATTGTAAAGGAATCGTTTAGTGCCATATACATGAATATAGAAATGTAATGACTACTCTATTAACATAAGACGTTCGATATAGAGTTGTGAACGGACCTAACAATTTACATCTACCATCTTTTATTATCTCTGTCGCAGAAAGCACACTTCGTTGTGAACTGCAGTGTTATAGTGAGAACCTTTGACACAGAAGACAATTATTTCTAAAATATGTTCTAAAATAACGTATCGCTTTACCGTATGCATGTACATAGTATAACGTTAGTTGTTATCTATTAGATTTTTGATCCCCGTACATTGCTAAAACTGCACAATGCGACACCCGGGTATACGACTATTAAAAAACCTCCAATACAACAATGTTGATAAACAAAGATTATTTGTGATATCTACAAGCAGTGTCACAATAAAACTGAAGATTTTGATTTTGTATCGCCTATGAAAAGTAATTTATTCTGCAAACATGCAGTGCCACGGAAACTCTAACTATCTTTTATTAAGAAGCTGCATATGTGTTATTTCGTTTAAACAATTTGTTACTACAGTTTGAATCCCCTTTTTAACATGGACATATTATACACTTGATGAGATTGTTTGCGCGGCTCAGTTCTCAGTTCACATGTTTGACAAATGGCACTATAAAACGTTGGTAAAAATATCAAAAACAGCCTTTTTAATTTGGAATAGTATATGCCCAATGACGGTTTGGCAGAAACCACAAAAAAGTATAGATTGTCAATAACATGTCGCACATACCGGGCCCTAGTTCAAGATCAAAGATAATTGCCGCCTTGGAATGTCTAGCGGAATGATTGACACCTGTTATCACTGTAAATGTCTTGTCAAGGCTTGACTAACGATGACTCAACGCCAATTTAAAGAGGACATTACCACATGTTTATTGATAAACATTGAGAATAACCATAGACAGTATGGCGCCGCTTAATTTGACTGTCTGCCGCTTTCACACTGATTTGACAATATGCATAGGTAACACGCGTTACTGCCGCATGAGTTTGTTATTTTCTATGATGGGTAGTGATACGTGTGCAATTTATTTGCAATGAAACTTAGCCAATTCTCTATGACATCGGCATTTGTGCACGGGAACCACGGCGTGTATGTTTATTTCTCTCAAATCGTAAACGTAATTATTAATTACTACAGTCACCTACTACAATATTTTGGGTTATTTGTCATTTGGATATTTTCTTAATAACTTAAGACAAATAATTGATATATGAATTATTTATATTCATATGAATTCAGGCTCTTGAAATAGAGTTGATTAACATCATTCCTCTATTTGGCTGGCATTTTGAGTAGATTGTTCTGACTAAATCTAGTTCCACCATGCAAACTACATGTTTTCCTCTGAATTTATAATCAGTATCTCTTCAATTGTAATTATTCTACCTGCGTTTTATGTTATAAGAAAACCGAACAGTTATCATCATTCGATAGGACAAAGGCTTAACTATGCTTCTTACCCAAACTACCAAACTAAGTATTCAGATGTGTGACCATATCCCTACAAACACGCTAAAACCAAGCAATCCCATTTCACTTACATATTGTTTGAAACACATGCTAGTCAATCGCAAAATACTGATTCGCATTTTAGATTCAAGGTAAGCAATGCATTATATCCTTACAACATATTTATCATGTTCAATTTAAGGATCCGAATACCAGATCGACGAGGAGGACAAGAGTGACACATCGTCGGAATTTGCCACCAATTACCAGGTATTAATTGAAATAGTGAATAGATTATTCACTGATTATCCGGGGAAGTTAACAATTTTTGATTTAAACAATATTTCATTCGGAAATAATATAACGATACAAAATAGGGAAAAGGTGAACCGAAAACTAAATATCTATACTAAGTCTAACATCTTTCCTCTTACAATAATGTACGCAGTAACTATATTCTAATGTAAATGAATAACATTTTGTAAAAAGGAAATACAGTGAGACAGTTAAGTAATGTTGTATCATTTATTTCGGTTTCTTCATGTCCCAGGAAACTATACGCTGACCTCTTGTAATAGAGTAACATGAATGTTTTATTAGTAGACTGAATGTGTGTCTGTATGAACTGAATTGTATCATCATAGTGTTCCAAAAGGAATATCGCCAAGGTGAACGAGACAAAAATATTGAAAAAAATCATAGAGTAGGTTAGGAAAAAAAGTCATGGGAAAAAAATCATAAACAATAAAATCTGTATGCATATCAGTTTTATTCAAGTAACAACAAGTGATAATATGATCTGAAGACTAAATAAATAAAGTCCTGTTCTGTTCTGAAGACGCCGTCATGATTAGTTGGCGCCAGCCTAGACTGTCCAATCAACGTGAATATACAAACCGTGATGTTACTTGACCAGTTGATGGCACCTGTCAAACTCAAAGTGCCCCTGGTCCTCCACCCACCATGTGTAATATTTTAGCGCACTTGAACGTTTTATGTGCAGCTATATCACTGTTAGGCTGAGTGATGAGAGAATAAATTTGGTCGTTTTTGTGAACGATCGTTTTTATGTTCAACCTGGTAACCTTATAAGTGACTAACTGTTTTATCATGATGAAATGAAACATAAAAAAATAATCAGAGGGAATGACGGTCGCATTTTTCGCATATATGTCATGCTCGCATTAATTTCATGATTTACTCAAGATAGATTTGAGCAACGATCATGTTTGGGTAAGGGAGATAATTTTGTCTCCGCTTGCAATTGGTTTCAATCGGACGAGCAGCTCCGAGATCGCAGCTTGACTGTTCGGTACGGCCGAAACGCGGCATCCATGTTGTTCACGCTCCTTAGATCACGCGGCCTCATTAGTCTGACGAGACATAGCTCCCCTGCCACTATCGCTTTGCTTCAGTTTCTGCCAGTCTATACCTTTCTTGAATCAATTAACGATTTCATTGTCAAAGTGGTCTGATTTCAGTAATGTTAATGAAAACGGTGTTGTAATATATTATAAACTTGAACATTGTGCACTATCTGTTATACATCTGTCAGTTATATATGTAATATTCATATTGTCAGGGATTGTTTTACTAAATGTGTTAACACTTATATCACCCGTTTACATCATCTGCTGCTAGTGTCGAAAACAAGTGTTTGACGAATTCAAGTTTTACCGCATAACCATATTGTGGAAACATTTTAATTTTGTATTTGGTCTCATCGTAGAGTCCAGTCAAGCGCAAGAACAAAATCTTGAGACAAAGGGAAGAAAATGGAAAAAAGAATAGATTAGGAAGCGGTCCAGTTGCCTCATCTACACCTATGACAAGAGTTTACGACTTTTCAGGTATTTCTTACCGAACTTTACAATAATGGTTCCTAATTAGTGGCCAGGTTGAACTGTTGTAATGTGTCTGTGATTGCAGAAAGTGTCTCTCATAACCTGTAATGGGTTGTTCATACATAATTGTTTTAAATAGATTTTATATTGTAAATATGAGGTGAGACTGTAATAAAATATATGTCTGTAATTACGACAAGTAGGACTGACCGTTAGCTTTAGCAGTCCACGTGAAGCAAACAAAGTATAACGTTTGTGACTCGCCTGCAGTCGCAGATGAATTTCTTTACCTTTTTAAATGTCCAGGGCTCAATCATCAAAGAAAGACATGAACTGTAAATTATTGTGCAAGGCAAAATGTATATAAACTTTGCAAATGTATGCAGTCTAAAAACTATTATGTTCGAGCAATAAAGCACGTTCAAGATAACTGATTCATATATTTTCATCAACCCAAGCCCATTTCTTAAATTGTACTTTTCTATGCAGATGGAGAAGATGACGGTCAGGACTTACTGAGAAGAGCCTCAAGCTGTAGTATGTATTTTCATCAAACACAATTCTATGAGCAGGTTCATGAATTTTCTTGTCACATTCGTGTAGTTTAACATGTAATTTGCTTTCATTTCAATCAGAGATTATCGTAGGTATGCTTAGACACGCAGTTATTTTCAACATCTAAATGGATATTCATAAAGATAAATGAAATCCGTATCCATTGGCGATCAATGGTATGTAGTGCATCGATGTGTCTGCAATTTGCTTAGAAAATAGCACTCATACGGCATCTGATAAACAAATTAATGTTTCAGAGAAACAAGCTGCAATTCAAGCTGAGACTCCTCGTATGAGACAAGGTATGTCACACAACGTATGAAATGATTTTTCGCATTGTATGAATAATCATACATTTATATGATTTTGGCACATCTTTAGCTGCCACAAGATACGCGGAATGACACAGGAGGAACATCTCCATTATTGATAAGGATTGCTTAATCGACATTAAAATGCCCTAGCTAATGATATTCAAACACTCATTCGTCAACACCAATTACATTCGACCAGCAACAAGATCATTTAATGTAACTATCCTTTTTATGTTTGCCGCTGAGGCTTGTCTTATATTCCAGCGGGATTTCAAATGACTGCAACCAAGTGCTTATAACACTTCAGATTGCAGTTGATGGCAAAATTAGCTTACTCTTTTTAATAAGAAGGGGGTAGGAGGGGTAGTTCTGTTTGGCTCGAATATATTTTGAATTTGATATTTGAGTGCATATTTTGGAGAAGGTTGCACTTGAATTTTTCCCAGAACGTAAAACGGTCATCCAGGTGCTTTGTAAGTATTTAATGTTTCTCTTAATTACAGGAAAGTCAATCCCCTATGCAGAATTTCTCCAACTCATGAGGGTCATGGAAGGACGACTTCACAGGGCCATTACAGATTTGAAGGGCGAAGTCGGCGACCTTAAAAAGGAAATTGGAAACTTAAACAGCGAGGTTAGAGACCTCAAGAGCAAACTTACTGAAAAGAATACACAGGTAAGTGATGATAGTCAACACTGTATTCAGTTTAAAATGCATTCTCGATATGATTTATCGTGTTTCAAGGGGAAAATTATAGTTAAATATATATTTACGTGTCATTACAAGGAAACATTGATTTTAAAAATTGCATCCAGCCAGTGTTGGATCATGCGATATAACAGTAAGTGAACTAGTAGGGCATACCATGATACGTTTCACCGTCAATTTTCACTATATTTGTATTTCCAGGTTACCGCCCTAACTGCAAAAGTTACACGTTTGGACAACAGGGTCCAGGAACCAACACAAACTTCGACCAAATCCAGCAAAGTCAGTACAAACATAAGGGTAAGATCCCAGCAAAACATCAAAACGGCGGATATGTGGAAAACCGTGAGAAACCCGAAAAATACACATGTGTTTAGCGACCGAGATTATACAGCGCGTTAAACGAGGGGAATCAACATAAACTATGTGTTGTTATTGGGAAGAAAAACACCATAACGATTGTTTTCCCGAAGTACTCGGCACTAATAAGCGGATTAAGGTTCAATTCAGTTACTTTCGGCTTGAAAGCATTCACTTTCTTTATCTAAAATAATATTTGGCATGGGGGAGATTGCACTAGTGTAATGATAAAACACCACTTTGTTTACAATCAAGTTGTAAACAATCAAGTTGTAAACCAACGCATGGACCTGTTACTGTTGTGGTACGGTATTTTGTAGACATGGAGCATAGAGCGTTTTTGTATGTTGGATGAGTGTGTTTGGATGAGAAAGTGTTTGTATGCGTGAACGTTGTTTGTGTCCAGAATGGTAAATGCGTATGAGTTTCGTATGTATGCAAGTATGAAAGTAATTATGTCTTGAGTGTATGTGTGTGAACGTCACGTAAATTTGTGCATGGTGGTATCTGAGTGAGGTAGGTATGTTGTGGTGTGTCCACAGAGGTGGATGTGGGATGCAACTGTTTTTTATTGTAATTGTTTAATTTTTTTTAAATGGCCAGGTGTATCTATTTTAAATAGCTTGGGTTCAGCAATCGCATTAATTTCACGATTTACAGTAATCGATGCGTTTCTCATAAGACAATATCAAGTTTCGATAGATTTATCTCACAGATAAAATCACCAATATTGATTCTTTCTATTGTGTGTTAACTATATTTTATCAATTTTCTTCCTTAGGCAGCATTGAAGGCAGCGATCGACCATGCTGAAACTGAGAAAGGGTGGACTATGGAGCCTATGTTCACGTAAATATCGTAGTGTGCAGTGATAATTTTGGAAAGGACGATATGTTCATTCTGTTACAATCATTTAAATAATTCGAAAATATCATTTTTACCATACTTGACAACCATTTGTCTGGAGTCGACTTACACCAGGAAAACACTGTGGCATTGTAAGCACTATTTCTGTTGATATGTGTATCTTTGCGTCTGTGAGACCGAGTATGTAACCTATATAATTATTTATCTCTTTTTAAACCCCTATAGGTTTGTCGCTGATAAAAGTTAATCAAAACTATCAAAAGTCATATGTAATTTATCTTTGTTTCACTTATACTTTTATTACAGTACTTTTTATTCAGATGAATAGATAGGCTTGTTTTAAAATCTTATCGCCTTTTTAGTGTTCATTTTACCTCCAAAATCAATGAACGAGTCGCAAAGTTTTGTGTGCCTCAAGTTTTTCTGATAAAATTGGAGGTACATCCGAAAAAGACTGTTACGCAATTTTGGCAAAAATAATATTTTCTTAATACCACCACGATTACTTCTCTTCCATGAATCCCGATTCAGTAGAAAATAGTCATAAATAAAGTCTTAGGAATCTTTGTAATGGGAAATTATATGAGACAGTCACATAAATATATATCTTTTTGTTATTTTTGTACCAGAAAACTGTACCACCAATATATCTCAAATCTAAACGAATATGTCTTAATTATGCAGTGAAATTATACCTAATAATCTTGCTTCTTTTAGTTACTTCAAAATAAGTTAATAAGTTCATGCTGAAGTCGTTAAAGAAGATTATATGTAATAGTTATTGGCATATGTATATTTTTGGTCATATAATAAAAGTAAAACATTTGTTGCAGGTTGGAGTCCGCACAGAATCGACAAGTTGTCAAATACATCTGGGACTTTTCTAAGGTGATAGCTCCAAGCATGACAAAACAGGAATTTAAAGGTATTTTTATCATTTAAGTGTATTTCAAATGCATGTGTCCGTCATGAACATTTTTAAAACATTTCAATTCCATAAGTCAATGCAAAGGTACACATGCCTACTAGTGGAAAGATTTAAACCTATTTTAACACGTAACGGAAAAGAGAAAGAACACACGGACGCGTCCAGAAAGAATTCAAGGAAACTGACGGTAAGTTGAAAGATTTGTGTTGCTGGAGGGATTAAATACCCCCTTAGGATATAAAATTTGGATTATTGAAGATGAATTTTGAGTGAAGCTTAACTTGGGCAAAGTAAGGCCAATTGTTGGAAGTGTTTGAGGTGTGACTTTATATAGGCCTGTTGGCCATGGCCGCCGAGTTAAAAAAAAGAGAAATTTAGAGGTGAGTGGCGCCTTATTAATATATAATTAAAAGGTGCCCAGTGGAGTAAGGTTATAGGGAGAGGTGGAATTTGGAATACATATGTTTTTTGCAGAATTAACAGCAGGATAGATTAGAATAGAGAATTTTATTAGGACAACCGGGGTGTATAAAAATTGGTAAATTGCCTGCTTTTAATATTTACCTATTTACCCTTATATAGTTTACACCCCGGGTAATTTTCTGTTGTTTATATTATGAGTGTATATATATACATAGTGCCCCAGGTAATTTTACAAGTATACACTACAATTCTAAGACGGAAAGGCCGTCATGTGTTGTCTAGACTGTCCAATCAACGTGAGTTAACAAACCGTGATCACTTGACTAGCATTGATTAGCTTGTCTATAATGCCCACCTTTGTAACTTGTCAATATATTGCTTTGTCATTATATCATTGTAATTAGTGCTGAAAAAATGTTGTTATGAACAGTGGCACGACCATCACCCGACACCTGTATATATTCAATGTGTTACGTGACAGACTATTTCTATTATCCCCCAGTCTCTGTCTTGTTAGTTAACGCCAGAGTCGACACACGCGTAGCTCAGCTATTTTAGTCAGTCTTCTAATGAGTGGGACAACACACACGACTTGTGTAACTTGTTTATAATTTCAATCACTGTTCAGAAAACATTTGTGGAGGTGTAATAAACCACAGGCGCGAAAGAGATTTTTTTTTAACCTTTAATATGAAAGTATATATTTTACAAGAGCTTTTTGCCAGTCTAGCTACCACTCGCTCGTCTTCTACATAAGAGTAAAAGTGGGGCACATCTCTGCCGGTATTCTTCCATGTATTCGCATAACAGCTTCGAAATAATATTTTGGGCGTCCATTGATGCACATATGCATCGGAGAGTCAACTAGGACATTGGCAAATGAATTCATGTAAATGCAATATCATCATACAACGTGTTTAGAAAATAAGAAGAAGAAGAAGATTCCAAGCGATGCTCCCGAGTGCTTTGCCGGTACTGACGTCAGTGGTTAGGGCTTGTGGTTTTGCACATTAGTAGATAATAGAATCCAGTCAATATATATAATATCGTTTTTTAAGTCTTTCACAGTATTTTAACCTGTGAAATAAACTCATCATAATACTTATTAAGAGGTGTGTCGCTAATCACCTCGGGATATCTTTGATATTCCATGTATAACTTTGCTCTGACTTATTGAATTTCCTATTTACCTGGCTTGAATCAATTCATATACAGAAGAGTAAAACGACTGAACCTGCATACATTTTAAGCGGTCATTGATCAAAGGATATTATGAGGCGTACTACTTTTTGTTTGTCAACATCACGCCTCGAAACATTTTATAAAGTAAACCGTGACTGTTCTGTTGTTAAAATTCGGTAATACTGAAACGGATTTTTGAGCAGTTGTCAATATATGAAATAATAGGTCATGTGTATCCATTAATGCCCATCCGACGGATATGTTTCCAGTACCAAGCCTAGTAAGGCAAGGTTGCCTGTTGTCCTCAATACTATTTTGTGTTGAGCAATACGATTTAGCAACAAAATTTAAAAAATCATTGGCTTGCTATTATATGCGTATGAATTTCTCTTTTAACAGCAGGGTTTTGCCCGGTCTCAGTAATATTGAATTGTATAAACGTTGTTAGGTAAGGTTTAAATCTTACCATTTCTTGGTAGTTATTATTGTCGTTGCAAGAAATTAATAGTTTCTTTTAAATGTTACTTGACGAATTTACATTGCACCCTCAATGTAAATGTGTTGTCAATATATTCAAATAGTTGAAATCATTTCCTAAATAACTAATGTTACACAAATAACACTTTCCGCCATAAAAAGGTACATAACGCCATCTTTCTACCTTTATAGAAACCCTGAGCGTCACCCAATGACCCTAATAAATCTGTCACCCGCGGCCGCATGTATATGCACATAGAAAATTGGTTAGAGGTAGATATGCCACAAATACAATTACAGAAACTCTCAGAATATGATAAATTAGGAAGCATTTGTTTTTAATGATTTAAAGAATGGTTTATCTCAAATAAAGAAGGCCAACAGACAATGCCTATATGAAGTTCCCTCCAGACAAATTCCTTCCACATAATTTACTATTGCATCTCAGAGGACTGTACCTTGGGTACTGAAACAGATAATGAACATTACCCTGATAAAAGTAACCACAACTAGAAGATAAATTATGAGGAGCAAATCTATCAAATTTGTAGCCATTTATTTCACTACGTTCTTATCTAAATGTACTATGTACTATCCGATTCTTTCCGTTACCAAATATTCTATATTGATGAGTTACATTACTATCGATCCGGACTTTCGTTGTCAAACATGTTAAATCGACACAAATTAGCCTCGAGCAGATCACCACTCAGCTGCCCAGCCATTCCACAGAGATTTTTCTTAAATTGTTCTGATAAACAAAACCAGAATATCGGAATCGTAACTGACATATCTCCCTTACTTGCGATATGTTCCAATGTTGTTAGAAATGTCGTGTCATTTTAAAACGTATATAAATCCAATCATACCTTCAGATCATTGTTGTAACATGTCTTTTGGTAGTATATTTATCTATACTACGAAATGTTTCATGTTTCATACTCTGTGGGGAGTGACTAATATTCACACCAAGTACCAGATAGATAGTTAGGAATGTAACGATGCGTATAACTATAGTTGCTGCAATTGCTTCTCTGAAATGAGAATAAAATGTTTCATGTTTGTTATTCCTGCATTAAAACGTCTTAAATAACTCCTACTTTTACATGTTTTCTAAAATAACATAAACCCCTTGTACGCAGTGAGTTTTACTTTAGGAGTTCAACTGCAAATAATATGTACTATGAGTTGTAAGTTAATGTTACTGAAACTTGAAGATTATCTGTAGACTTCTTTTTATAGATTTAGATATATATTTCTTCCCATTTACAGAATTTCGATTTATAGTGACTCTAAACACAACATGCTCAGGACAAACTATTCTACTGAAGTAATGGGCACATTTCTGTTTTGTCTTCGTTTTATTTCGTGTTTAAGAAAGGTGGGTGTTATAAAGTGAACGGTTTTGCTTTCAGAAAAGCAGACACCGTGTAACTGGCATTGAAAAATCCGAACTACCTCATCACACAAGGACCAAGTACATTCGAGTAATGAAAAAAACGCAGCTCATGTCGTCAGAAGAGAGTTCGGTCGACGAGGATGGCAACCGGGTCTTCAATGTGAGAAGGAGGGACTGGGAGAGTCATGAAATGAGGGCCGCTAAAAAAGTGGCCGACGAGACATTTAGTAAAACAACCAAGACAGCAGCGTCCATCGTACCACGGACGAGACGAATTACAGGTGTCTCGTCATTTGCACCACCTCCTGCCTGGTTGCAGAAAGAAGACAGCTGGGTCAGCTCAGCACTGACATACCATGGAGTAGTTTAGAATCATCATCATTCATATCCTCATCAGAACATGCTTACTTACTTACTAAAAGGGGTGTTTTTATAGGTTAGGAATTTTAGGGTTTATTGGCAGCTTGTTTTTTGTCCTTTTTTTTTAAATGCGGCCAAGTAGGCCTGGTTTGATTAGATATATGCTTAGTGCTTCAAAGGTTTAAAGTCATGTAGGGGGTTCAGTACAGTCATGTGATTGTTGCAATTTAGTGAGGATTGGAGTGTTGTTTGGTCTGTGTTGCTGGTAATGTGTTCCATAAAGTATTGAATAGGGCGCTCTAAATGTAAATGTCACACGGGAATAATACGTGTTCGGGCGTTTCTTTTTAAGTTGCAGTGGGGGTATTTACCGGTTTGGTGGTTTTTTTAATTAGGTGTAGGTGAGAGCTTAACTTAGTGTGGCCTGTTTGTAGTTTGGTTATTACTCTGTCAATGTTTTTGGTTTTATGATGGATATGTTTTTTTGAGTGGCGTTTTAGTTTGCAATCATATTTCTGATTGTTATTTTGCCGCTGTTTTCCTTTGTGATACTTTTAATTTCCTTTTTTTTATTTTGGTAGGTTGATGCTTGGGATGCTTACTTCTTCTAATTTTAGTGCTGATTTGGCTGCTTTGTCTACATGTTCGTTGCCAAACACCCCAACGTGGGCAGGGATCCAAACTATTTCTATGTCTTTACCTAGTTTACGTAGATTGTTGGCGCTTTTATCTGTTGTATTAGTTTGGGGCGTTTTTTGTGGTTTTGTTTTTATGGCCTGGAGCCCACTTAATGAGCCGGGATGCGCATGAATCACGGTCGTCAAAACGAATATATTTACCAATTATATGAAGTCAATTAGCCAGTTCAAGAGACAATACCCTGGTGTAATTACGTCGCATGCCTCTGGTTCACGGTTCGTCTGATCTCCCGTCATAAAACCACGATGTTTATTTACCTGGAGCCCCAGACAGCGCTGACTTCCCTGTGTGCAAGTACGTACATGGCAATAAATGGTTTGACAGTTGTTTGACGGAATCCCCCCCCCCCCCCCCCCCCCCCCCCCTCCTCCTTCTACCTTTTATGGCATATTTCAAAATTCCAAACTTGACCTGTTTTGTATATATGTATATATTATTATGTTAATATGGACAATGGTAAAATTCATAATCACAGTTCAAGGGCTGTTCACAAATTATGTAAATCTGCTTCGTGATGAATGAAGCATGGTAATAAATGTATGCATCTGAGTCATTTGTTCTGTATTCTTTGATGAGAATGAGTTTTCTTATATTAATGATGATTACTCTCACAGAATATTTGATAAGAGGATAGGACTTTCAGTTGAGAATAGTTATGCAAAAGTATAGGCGGTCTGTGCACATGTGGTAAAACTGATATATCATTGACATGATAATCGGGACTTGGAAATCATAGTCTTTCATTATATGACATAAATACACGTCTATAAGGACGCCCGACTTGTTCTAGAAGCGTAATTTCAGGTTATCTGAAATCTGTCGGTTTGGAATTATTATTTTTTGTTTGTAATAAGGATAACAAAAACATGTTTTGTATTCTATTGAAGCATTCATAAATAATTCAGTGTTCGTTTCCCGCGGTTAAAGAGTTTAAACTGATTGCAAACTGATTTTAAAATATATGGTTCTGTCTGTAGTACGTCCTGATGTCATAATATTATGTCGTAAACATGTTAAATAAAACAATTATTGATAACTTCCTGAATTCCAATTGTTCAATGAACAGAATTATTCACAGCTCTGGCCTGAGACAACAATCAATTAGATGTTACTAAAGATTGTCCATTCTATGATCTTAGGCACATGTCGGCGCACTTACATGTGAGCCGTCTAGACGACCGTCTGTTTTGTCATTAAATGGCAGCTGCCATCCAGCCGAATACTTAATCTTGAGACCTATTAGGGTCTTGTCGAGTCAAGTGCGGGTCTCTCTCCCACCTTAGGGACTGAGACTGTAAAAGCCCCTCGCTACACAGACAAGTAGTGAATGTTTGAGATAAATATATTATTATATAGTTTAAACTCAATAAATAACTGTTGTTATTGTCCAAATTACTGATAAAACATATTTTAACTTTTTCCTTCTAACCATATTTCCAAACCATTCCAAACCATTCCAAGCCATTCCAAACATTTCCAATTTTGGAAATATGCTTGGAAATGTTGCCATTCCAATTTTGGATTTTTTGGAAAGATCGATCTTTCCAAGCTTTGGAAATGTTGGAATGAGCGATCTTTCCAAAGAAATCCAACGATCATTCCAAATTGGAATGGACGCTATTTGGTCTTGTGTAACATGTTGAGGTTGCCACACATCACACTGTAACGGGGACCAGCATGTCGGAGAATTGTAATTAAGGTTCCTCCTGATCTAAGCACTTGGGCGAGTGAATTAGGACCAGTACACATAATGACAGTTTAAGCCATACTGTGACAAGTATATGAGGCTGTAAGACATAAACAGTGACAAAACTGGTAACTCTCTAATAATACTATTAATTTCACAATAAAAAAGAATGCTATACACACAGCGCACGACAGACAGACAGACACAAACACACACACACACACACACACACACACACACACACACACACACACACACACACACACACACATACATGTACACATATTCAAAATAACGGCGTGTCAGCTTAATGTGGGAGGAAACCCCAAAGTGATGCAGGTCTCAGACGTTTACCACTTCGGTGAAATCCACGGGCACGGGTATGGTGCTGACAAACCTAGAAACATAAACGGGGCGAACCGGGATTCGAACCCACAATCATAGGTTTCTGATAGCTTTCGGGTTAACGCGTGTCCAGATAAACGTAGTTGGAATTCGAAAGCTCGAAAGGTTTCTGGCATGCCAAGGGACGCAACTCTGCACACGCTTTGTCTCGTCTCAGACAGCTGGACCACCCTTGTGCCCGTATATAGATAGTGTGTACAGAAAGATGAATAATGACGGGAGGCACACCTGCAAGTTCCGGGAACTGTGCATGATGACACGTTGACGTGGAAGAAGATAACGACACTGGTCGAGGAGGAAGAAGCGGTAAAGATGTCGATGTGGGATCATGCTTGCCAGGATCAGGGCTGAAGCATCAAGAATAAAACTGATTATTATTATATTCAATTTCCAAAAGGTATCCTCAGTTAACAAACATGTAACCTAATAAATAAATATGGTCTCTATTATTATTATGGTCTCTATTATTATTAAATCTGTCATAAGGATTTAGTTATTGTTACATCAGGATATCTGTACTTGTCGTCACCTCTCTGCGTTGTGCGGTAAAGCGATGGTGTGCTTCCTTCTCTTAAGGTAGAATACAAGAGACAACATCAGCAGAACTATCACGATGACGACCCCGGATACCCCAGCAGTGATGAAAGGGATGTTGTTACTTTCATGTTGATTGCGTGCAGTCATCTCTGTCACAGACATGTCTGGAATGAAACAGTGGCGATGATAGGGGTTTGCGTTGCAGTTGTAAAGTAAAGATTATTTTTATATAATTATGTAATCAGCATAAAAGTAGAACAATAATTACAAGATATTCGCAAGTTGTCACCACGAAAACAATGCACAATATATATTTGAAAACGATTGTGGTAACGTTTTTATTATGTACACACGATATTCTGGCTCGGATATACAGTTAACTACGGTTATTACGAAATAAAAGGGACCACTTATTGTAGTTCGTTATAACCGCAGTTCGTTATAGGCACATATACACCCTATATACTGCAAATCAATAGGACCCCAAACCAGTACGTTATACCCGCCAGTTCGGTATAAGCGTTTTCGATATAAACGTAGTTTACTGTATAATTTATTGTCATCAGTTCACCAAATGGAAATGGAATATATTTATTATCAGATACTTCCTATGGTCATTACTATAGAATGATTTGACGCAGTGACAAAATGATGCCCGATGCAATGCCCTATTTTGACTTGTTCCATTTGTTCCTGTGCTTTTCCAGGTGAACAGTTGACTTGCCTTTCCATGTGTTTGTGACGGGTGCCACAGATGGGGCAGAATACGCTCACCTTTTTCGCGAACACCTAGTATCATCACTATTTGATAGTGATTCATTCATAAACACATGCTCATGATGTAGTCGGAGTCGTGCGGTCGACTCTGCTCTTGGCGGATATTTCAATTGAATATGGAAACTTTAAGGGTTTTGATCACTTTTATACAGTTTAAGCTATAATTATCTTCTTAACGTAAGGATTAGAAAAGTCCCATCTCGTGACATACGTTTTTGCATTTCCACAACTGCCCACAGTAAAATGAGTGAGTGACTTGGGTTTGAACAATATTTCAGTTATATCACGATGTGGGGGACCGCGAGGGCAGGTCGCATGATCAGAGGTTGAGTTACCACTTTGGTGATACCCACGAACATGGACATGGTGCTGACACTGTGTACTGATGACAATACCAATCACATGGATATGGCGCTGACACTGTGTACTGATGACCATACAGATGACATGGATATGGCGCTGACACTGTGTACTGATGACAATACCGATGACATGGATATGGAGCTGACACTGTGTTCTGATGACCATACAGATGACATAGATACGGCGCTGACACTGTGTACTGATGACTATACAGATGACATAGAAATGGCGCTGACACTGTGTACTGATGACCATACAGATGACATGGACATGGCGCTGACACTGTGTACTGATGACCATACAGATGACATAGATATGGCGCTGACACTGTGTACTGATGACTATACAGATGACATGGACATGGCGCTGACACTGTGTACTGATGGCCATACAGATAACATAGACATGGCGCTGACACTGTGTACTGATGACCATACAGATGACATGGACATGGTGCTGACACTGTGTACTGATGACCATACAGATGACATAGATATGGTGCTGACACTGTGTACTGATGACCATACAGATGACATAGATATGGTGCTGACACTGTGTACTGATGACCATACAGATGACATAGATATGGTGCTGACACTGTACTGATGACCATACAGATGACATAGACATGGCGCTGACACTGTGTACTGATGACCATACAGATGACATGGACATGGTGCTGACACTGTGTACTGATGACCATACAGATGACATAGATATGGTGCTGACACTGTGTACTGATGACCATACAGATGACATAGATATGGTGCTGACACTGTGTACTGATGACTATACAGATGACATAGAAATGGCGCTGCCACTGTGTACTGATGACCATGCAGATGACATGGACATGGTGCTGACACTGTGTACTGATGACCATACAGATGACATAGATATGGTGCTGACACTGTGTACTGATGACCATACAGATGACATAGATATGGTGCTGACACTGTGTACTGATGACCATACAGATGACATAGACATGGCGCTGACACTGTGTACTGATGACCATACAGATGACATGGATATGGCGCTGACACTGTGCACTGATGACCCTACAGATGACATAGATACATGTTTGCAATGTCCACAGTGTAGGCGCCTGCTGGGGCCGTTACGAAGAATAACATCCCGTCCAGACAATGGACACAGTGCACCCTGGTGGGATAATAATACGTTAACCTACCCTGTGCTACGTCACACGTTGCATCCTCATCAGTTGTGCATGGCGACAGTTGAGTCTTGTTCAGAGCTGCACAGGAAGTGCACGACACGCAATGACCTTGACCTTTGTAGAACTGTTTCCCTGGGCACATGGAACACACGAAGTCCGACGTGGATGTGCCTGCAAGTATACCTCGTCATTGAATGTGAGCGTCTAACAGTATTCTAGTTGTGTAACGGCGCGTCAGTTTACAGACCGAGGAATGTAATGGGGTGATTCTTTGATTCGAACCCAAGACGAACTGTTCTTGATTTGACAAAGGATCGAAGCTCCTTCTTGCCCCTTAGACTACTGGATTATTTATAAGCATCCCGCTTGTCAACGAAAGTGACAATAAAAATAACGCAGTTTTAAAGTTGTAAAGATATAATATTTGCTTTCCAAGCATTTGTATGTAACATATGCGATTTAGTATGCATTAATATGTAACATTTATTTATGTTGAGAATTAGTTCGGTCTCTAAGAGACTTGCCACGTTTTCGCAACTTTTCAAGATTTAGGACACGCTTTCTTTTAAAGCTATATATTTCTTACAGATTTTGCTTCAGTAAACATCACACGTAAAACGCCAGAGATTAACCAGTCACGATTATCCAAAGAAACAGATTTCCTTCGGCCAAATCATTAGAAACACGATTCAAAACCAAGGAAATCTTAAAAAGAAATCAACAAAAATAAAATGACCAAGTAAGAAAATCCTGAAAATCGATGAAGCATGAATCACATGAAACACAGGAAAGAATCAATTGAAGGACGTGGTCATAAGATATGTCCACCATGTCTATCCGCGGTGGGAATAGCTTTCTGGACGTTTCCTTGACATTTTAAGTTTTTCAGTGATTCTTGTTTTCCCGGTGTTTCAAGATAAATTCCGTTAAATTTCTAATTGTTATTTTTTTTTAAATGTGTAACATTTCGAAAGAAACATGTTAAATTTGCAATTTGCAAATTTGCAAATCTGGGAACAGTGCGAACACGTTTCCATGTCCCTAATCCTAGTGGACACCGCTCAGAAAAGTGTTTCATCTTAGTGGACACACCTCAGAAAAGTGTTTAATCTTAGTGGACACCGCTGAGAAAAGTGTTCCATCTTAGTGGACACCGCTGAGAAAAGTGTTTCATCTTAGTGGACACCGCTGAGAAAAGTGTTTCATCTTAGTGGACACCGCTGAGAAAAGTGTTACATCTAGTGGACACCGCCGAGAAAAGTGTTTCCTCTTAGTGGACACCGCCGATAAAGGCGTTTCATCTTAGGGGACACGCCGAGAAAAGTGTTTAATCTTAGTGGACACCGCCGAGAAAAGTGTTTAATCGTAGTGAACACCACTCCGAAAAGTGTTAAATCTTAGTGGACACCGCCGAGGAAAGTGTTAAATCTTAGTGGGCACCGCTCAGAAAAGTGTTTAATCTAGGTGGACAACGCTCAGAAAAGGGTTAAATCGTAGTGGACACCGCCGAGGAAAGTGTTTAATATTAGTGGACACCGCTCAGAAAAGTGTTTAATCGTAGTGGTCACCGCCCAGAAAAGTGTTTAATCGTAGTGGTCACCGCTCAGAAAAGAATTTAATCGTAGTGGACATCGCCCAGAAAAGTGTTAAATCGTAGTGGAAACCTCCGAGAAAAGTGTTTAATCGTAGTGGAAACCCCCGAGAAAAGTGTTTAATCGTAGTGGAAACCCCCGAGAAAAGTGTTTAATCGTAATGGTCACCGCTCAGAAAAGAATTTAATCTTATTGAACACCGATCAGAAGAGAATTTAGTTTTATTGGACGCCGCTCAGGAAAGAGATTAATCCGTCAACTTACCATTTTGTAAAGTGAACTGATCACTATCACAGGGTGTGTGCTTCTTGCACGTGTGAGAGTACCCATCATTATACAGATAATATCCGCCTGTACACTCGCAGGTCAGATCACTTGTTCCGCTGCAGGCTTGGACAACCACCATGTTGGTGTCGTGGAGGCACTGGTCAAGACAGGGTTGGCAGCGTCCAGCTTGTGTGTGATGAGACTGGAAGGTTTGAGGGGGGCACGGCCTGCAGTCGGGGGATGTGAAGTTCATGGCGCAGTGTTTGTACCTGTATGTTCCTGGTGGACACTTGAAGCACACAGTTCCGTGGTGGAGATAGGAGACGGCATGATCCTCTGTTGCCTGTACAAGTTTTATTAATCAGTGAAGTACATGTGAGATTCTTTCAAAACATGTCTGGTTCCCTTACCATGCTGGTAGTGGCCCCAAGTTACTCACTCACTCATTTATTTTCGAAAAGCATTGCCGAGTCGGGGATAAAATTAAGATTTCTACTTAATGTGAGACTTATTTATTAACTGAAAGTAAAATACACATTTATTAGATTAGTTTCGAAAAGCATTGCCCTGTCGGGATAATTGAATATAATTTCGTCCTGATGTGAAACTGAACTTATTGACGCTCGGAAAAAGATTTGTCCTCCTGAAAACAAGTTGAAATATATTAGTCCAGGAGCCCCCTACTGACCTGTATATTTCATGATTGTTCAATTTGACACCTAGATCTCTTTTATAGGTCCATTAATAAGAGCGCATTTCAATTTTGAAGTTGCCCTTCCCCACTTTTTCGCCAGATAGTCCATACCGGCAAAATGAGAGAAAAGGGTAAATTCTGGCTAAAATGCCCCGGCTGTGCCATTCAGGCAGTTCTGTTTTGGATACCCCATGGGATACCCCTTTCAGAAATACCAATGAAAGACTCTCTCATTCATGCAGATAAATGGCCCCTGGCTCCTGGACTATATGTTTTAAAGGACTTTTAAGTTAATGATAAAATAAGTATGTGTCTGAAATCCATTTATAGAAGAATATGTTCACCCAAAATCATAAAATTACTTTCAAGATATTATTTGAATTTTAATGGTATCTGCCATATCTCTTTAAAAACATAAACATTTGTTGTGTTGTTTTGTGTCCCTGGTCCATGTTTGAACCCAGAATATATGAACCGTGGTTTGTCAGTGCCATACTAATGATCATTCATTAAAGTGGTAAATGTACCCGACCCGACATTAAGCTGACACGCCGTGATATAACTGAAATAGGGTTCAAAGCGGTGATAAACCCAACTCACTCACCCACTTGTTCTGGTCCGGTTTGATGTAACACATGTAGCAAATGAGTTGCATGTTGGACATTCTGTCCCCTACACATGTAGACAGACGAAACGCGTTATCGGGGTGTTCGAGAAGACTGGTTGCCTAATCTAAAGTGAAAAATTGGTCCAATTTCGAAACAATAGACTCTTGCATTCGTGACCAACTCGTGCCATTCCGGGACAGGTGACGGCAGGGGAAAGTGGTGACGAATAAAGGCTCTTGTACCCATGTGGGGAATCGAAGCCGGATCTTCGGCGTGATGAGTGAACGCTTTTACAAAAGGCTACCCCACCGCCGCTCTTGTGGAGAATGTACTACACCTAATAGGGTTGATTTGTATGTTCTGAGCGTCAGATAGAAGAAATCGCACAATAGTGACACCTTTTGCTGTGGACATCACGTGATGCTGTGGAGGTATATCCACAAAATATTGAGTCAATTGTGCAACTTGTTTCACTGTAACAAGTCAATATTATACGCAGGAGTCCTTTGGAAGAACGACACACTTGTGGAATGTGCAGTGACATGAATCACTGATAATGCGCATGCGGTGTCGCCTGTACGTAACTCGTGGGCGTTAGCAAATACTTACATTACAACAGGCAACATTGTCCCACACAATAAACAGCGCAACCAACACAGCAGGGCCTTTGAAAAAGCTGACACTGGATATTTGAAAAGGCTTCGTCATCCGTCTTTTGTATTTGTGCAGTGAGCCCATCACGATGAAGAGGGCCTGAAATCAGAGATACATACACGTCAATATATTGACTATGTTACAAGTGTGGAGCATGTCATGTATGTGTCTTTTCTTTCTTCAATAACTGTTGTCACCTGGTCACTAATCATGTGTACATGAAGATAACATCAAGTCTGGCCATGCTTTGGTGAGTCACCATGTCATCGTGACCCGTGTTTGCTGACGTTTATTCTGAGTGATACACCGTCGTTGTCGTTATTCTTAAACATGTCATGTATGTATCCTTTTTTTCTTCAATAACTGTTGTCACCTGGTCACTAATCATGTGCACATGAAGATAACATCAAGTCTGGCCATGCAGTGGTGAGTCACCAGGTCATCGTGACCAATGATTTCTGACGTATATTCTGACATACACCATCGTTGTCGTTATTCTTAAACATGTCATGTCTAAAAGGAGGATGCGATTGTGTAACAGAATGAATAGAAATATACTATAAGCATACAGTGGTATGTTTGTTTGTTAGTTTTATGACGCCGTTGTCCGAAATATTTAAGCTGTTCCAGCTATATAACGGCGGTCTGAAAATAATCCAATCTGGACCAGACAATCCTGTGATTGCCGCCGGGGTACGATGACACGCAATCAACCACGTTATTTGTCTTACCACCCTATCCAATCTTAACAGTAACAATAGAATGGCGGGTTTTATTCTTACCCAGGTCCCCAGGGTTAATTAGAGATAGTGACACCCCGTTAATCCGGACGTTAGTAGACCCACAGAAGTCAGCTGTTTTAACAAATTTTCGGATTTATAACCAACAGCAATAGAATGGCATAGGAAACATTAGTGACACCCCGAGATAGTGACACCCCGTTAATCCGGACGTTAGTAGACCCACAGAAGTCAGCTGTTTTAACAAATTTTCGGATTCATAACCAACAGCAATAGAATCGCATAGGAAACATTTTCTCACCCATGGTCCATGGCGGTAATTATACACAGCGATAACCCGTTTAATCCGGAGGGTAGCCCCCCAAAAGAAATCGTCCGGTTTAACAAATGTCCGGATTAATTAATTAGGAATATTTAATAATGTCCATATGTGTGTAGATGTAAGCTTTCCCAGTTGGAATCGACTGCGAGGTCGTTTCCCGATTTGCCAGTATCCGGTCTACCAAGGCTGCACTGTAGACAGTAGCACACGGAATACGAATAAGCAAGTACCAATAAGTCATTAGTATTGAGCCAATATCCCAGTCTTGTGAAAGTGTCAGCAACACGGACTTCATTTATGTTGTACTTGTCATTGTCTCGTGATACGATGGCCTAGTTTGGGTATATAGGTAATAAGTATATATAGGTTATACCTATCACAAGCCATGAGCCGCGGGTCTATGAGTCAGTGGCTAAAATACCTTATGTTAAAAATGATTGTTAGTAATCCAGTCGGGTAGCCTAGTGGTTAAAGCGTTCGTTCGTCACGCCGAAGACCCGGGTTCGATTCCCGACATGGGTACAATGTGTGAAGCCCATTTCTGGTGTCCCCCGTCGTGATATTGCTAGAATATTGCTAAAAGCGGCGTAAAACCATACTCACTCACCCCAGTATTCCAGTGAAGCTCCTTCCCGGGCTATTCGTCCGGATAAACAGGTATAATATGTTTTGAATCACAGAGACGCCCCCACATAGGTCGTCCAGAAAGCGAGGATTCCGGTTTAAAGAGAGCTCACTTTGAATACATTTCATAACGGCTTCTCCATTACATCTGGTGAGTTATGGTAGAATAATGTAACGTCCTACCGACAACATACATGCGTATTGCGACGACACATTCAATATATACATGTACAATAGGATTGAAGTGAGTGAGTGAGTGCGTTTTACGCCGGTTTTAGCAATATTCCAGCAATATCACGCCGCGGGGGACACCAGAAATGGGCTTCACACATTGTACCCATGTCGGGAATCGAACCCAGGTCTTCGGCGTGACGGGCGAACGCTTTAACCACAAGGCTACCCGACCGCCCCTGGGATTGAAGACAAAATTATGAACGTAAATAACATATCCTTGCTGTAAACATAACATACCTTCAAATTAACAAGAGTGAGTGAGTGCGTGAGTTTGGTTTTACGCCGCTTTTAGCAATATTCCAGCAATATCACGGCGGGGGACACCAGAAATGGGCTTCACTCATTGTACCCATGTCGGGAATCGAACCCGGGTCTTCAGCGTGACGAACGAACGCTTTAACCACTAGGCTACTCGACCGCCCCGAAATTAACAAGATTATCAATTATGATGTCGATGATCAATAGTATAAAACAATGGTTGTGTTCGAGTAAAATAACAGCCCTCTCACTGATACATGTACCTTGACAATCCCCACAGTGAAACGCTGGCCACAGTGTGATCGCCTTGGCAGTCCAAGATAAAACGTTATGTAAACCGTGGGAGACTTACCGTAACAGTGTTCTGTCAATGGCAATTCACAAGTCACATGTGCGCGAAAATATTCGAGATTCTCCTCCCCCGCCCTACTTCCTGACGTCATATTAAAAGAGCTAAAATTGATGCCACATACTTTCTAAAAATAAAAAGTGCCTGCGTGGTGTAACGTGTTAAGCGAGCTGTGATGTAACAGCTATCTCACAGCCTGTATATGTAGGCCAATCTTAAAGGGGTGTTCGTAGTATGAAAGGACGGTGAACCCGATACCCCTTTCTGTCAATACTGAACATCCAAATAGACATGTGTTCCCTACTCACACACACATGAGTCCCAATGAGGGGCTGGTCAGCCGAGAGGCAGAAGGCGGCCCCTTTAACACTTAAAGCAACCACATCATGACATTTTGTTTTGCTTGAACCGTCGGAGAGTGCCGAGCTCCAAGCATATTTGAATATTGTTAGCGAGCATCTCTGTATTTCTTTCATACTTTGTTATCATTCTTAATTAAAACAAATGTTATGTTATATATTTTACGAGATAACATATATCAGGAGCATATCCCCCCTAAAGTCCACCCAACTATTTTCAGCATTCCTTCAGGAGTGAGTGAGTATGGTTTTACGCCGCTTTTAGCAATAATCCAGCAATATCACGGAGGGGGACACCAGAAATGGGCTTCACACATTGTACCCATGTCGGGAATCAAACCCGGGTCTTCGGCGTGACGAGCGAACGCTTTAACCACTAGGCTACCCGACCGCCCCCAATATCAGAAGAAGAAAGGCTGTCTCATCTTGTTGTGTTACGGTACTACTGGCTTTTCTTTGTGTAAAAGTGAAATATGATTTTTCTTTCACATAAATGCGTATGCGTATAATAAATAGACTATATTATGCTTTGTCAAATAAAATGTATATCGCATCGAGTGACGTTTGAAAACATTTTCACGAGCTGCGAAGCATCGAGTGGAATTAGGGTTTTCAGACTTCACGTGATGCGATATACATTTTATTTGACAAAGCATAATACATCGTATTTGTCAAATTATGAAATAGTATATTTATTATATACATTCGATGCTAAAATGGCCCCCTTTTCGAAGTTGTATAGAATAAAGCTTATACATGTATTCGGATATTGGGTCTATGTTTGTGCACGATACCGATAATTATTACTTGTCATTGATTAAATAAATAATTGTGTATTTTCTTCGTAATCCATTCTGTTTACATTTTATAATATATATATTATTTCTTCTGTATAGATAGATCACAATATTGGAACAACAGGTTAACGTTGTGTTTGCAGTGTATGGCAAACCATAGACTGGACTCCTACACCGTAGGAGAAAAAAAGTAATCCATTGGAGGGTATGCGCCCAGTGCAAGTTGTTACTGCAGAGTTAGTGCGGGGTAAGTGCAGTTAGCCCTTAACGTGAAGCATACACCTCCGCCCTGGATCAGTTGTTAGTGCAGAGTTAGTGCGGGGTTAGTGCAGTTAGTCCTTAACGTGAAGCATACACCTCCGCCCTCGATCAGTTGTTAGTGCAGAGTTAGTGCGGGGTAAGTGCAGTTAGTCCTTAACGTGAAGCATACACCTCCGCCCTGGATCAGTTTGCGTCCTATTTGCCCCGGATCTCTTCCATCCACATGGCGACGCATGGGCAGTGAGCGCGGCGCCTTACCTCTACTCCAAGTGTACCCGGGTTCCTGCGTCTGAAAGAAATGACAGTCAAGGATAAGCATCATTATCACACTTCTATATAGTCATTGTATCAATGTATCAGGACTAATTGTTATATCTGACTAATATGAGTAAGGCATTTATGATTTAGGTACACATTCTGTGACAACCGAGGTTCGGTTTAAGGCGTGATGGCGGTTGCTGGAAATAATGGTGAGTTGGTGCGATCTGCCGATCCAAGTTCACACAAGGTTTCGACGAAAATATTGTTTGCAATATTGAATAATTGTAATAAAACAGATTCCATAAGTCAACATATACAATAAGCACATTTCATCACCAGGTAGTGTAATAACATGTTGAAATGCGATTTACGTTGTTTTGTGCTCACGATAATGTCTTCGAAATTTGAAAAATAAACAGAATTCATATTTTCTATGTGTTCTTTCTAAAATATTGAAGAAAAGACTGCCTACCTGGGCCTCTTTTGTCTTCTTCTGTGCCCCCTTGTTTCTTCTTGGCAGTTGCTCTGCCTCCAGAGGACTTCTTGCAACTGTTCTGGCCATCGGCATTATTTCAGCCATACAGAGCGAACTGTTCTGGCCATCGGCATTATTTCAGCCATATAGCGCGAACTGTTCTGGGCATCGGCATTATTTCAGCCATATAGCGCGAACTGTTCTGGGCATCGGCATTATTTCAGCCATATAGCGCGAACTGTTCTGGGCATCGGCATTATTTCAGCCATATAGCGCGAACTGTTCTGGGCATCGGCATTATTTCAGCCATATAGCGCGAACTGTTCTGGGCATCGGCATTATTTCAGCCATATAGCGCGAACTGTTCTGGCCATCGGCATAATTTCAGCCATATAGCGCGAACTGCTCTGGGCATCGGAATTATTTCAGCCATACAGCGCAAACTGTTCTGGGCATCGGCATTATTTCAGCAATATAGCGCGAACTGTTCTGGCCATCGGCATTATTTCAGCCATATAGCGCGAACTGTTCTGGGCATCGGCATTATTTCAGCCATATAGCGCGAACTGTTCTGGGCATCGGCATTATTTCAGCCATATAGCGCGAACTGTTCTGGCCATCGGCATAATTTCAGCCATATAGCGCGAACTGTTCTGGCCATCGGCATTATTTCAGCCATATAGCGCGAACTGTTCTGGCCATCGGCATTATTTCAGCCATATAGCGCGAACTCATCTGCGTCCAGGGTGTCTTCTTTGGGGGTCCCTTGGGTTTTCTTGGCATCGTCCTGCCTCCAGAGGACTTCTTGGACCTCTTCTGTCTTCTTTGCCTCCGGGGTGTTAACATGATACTTCTTGGCAGTCGTCCTCCCTCCGGGGGCCTCTTCTGCCCCTAGGGTGTCTTCTTGGCCATCATTTGCCCCCAGTGAGTTGGGTTTTAAAAGCTTTTAAAAGTATTCCAGTTATAGCACGGCGTGTCAGCTTAATGTGGGAGGAAAACCCGAAGTGATGCAGGCCGTAGACTTTTACCACTTCGGAAAAACGGGTATGGTGCTGACAAAACATTTCACATGATTGATTCGAACTAAACAGATCATAATTAACAACAAAACAACATATGCTGGTTCGTTGAAATAGGGCAATACTTACCACCAGGTGCAGGTCCTGGGCGCCTCAGTGACAAGCCTACACACAAAGAATGTACTTCACGATTCATCACGCTAAACAGGTGTTGATGAAGATAGTAAAAAAGAAACTACCTTTCGATTAATTACTGGTCTGTTTAATAATTTTGCAGATCAAATATATTTGCAGATATTTAACCGCTGATAAGATACAGGTGTCATGCTTTCCAAATTTACAGTAACAAGATATACTCCAGTGTAACACAGAGGTATTTCAAAGTTGATTCTATACAAAGAAAATGGAAACCGTCAACGCCCGAAATAAAACAAAATTAAATTCAACATTAATCCATGGTCTGGGAATTGTAGTTTATAATAAGCCCATGAGCGCTCGTCGCGCCAGTATGTGTGTTCACACGGATGTGTGAGTTGTACTAACCGACAAGTGAATATGTCCTAAGCATGTATCGTTTTCGCAATGTGGATGTAAGATGGTGGTGTAGCACTGAATAAAACTCTTTAATTCGAAACAACCGTGCCAACTGTGCATTGTTAACAGCAATGTTCCAGCTATATGCCTGGGGTCTGTAAATAATTCAGACTGGGCAAAACAATCCAGTGTATATCCCATATGAACACAGCTTACCTTTCATTCTGAGTGATATAACATGTCCGATATACATACACTCCCGACTTTTATTCTGAATGATGTATATACTATACTTCTCGCCTTTCATTCTGAGTGATGTATATAACATGTCCCATATACATACTTCCTCGCCTTCATTGTGAGTAATGCATATTATATATCCTATATGAATACACCTTCACCTTTCATTCTGAGTGATGTATATAACATGTCCGATATACATACTTCCTCGCCTTCATTGTGAGTAATGCATATTATATATCCTATATGAATACACCTTCACCTTTCATTCTGAGTGATGTATATAACATGTCCGATATACATACTTCCTCGCCTTCATTGTGAGTAATGCATATTATATATCCTATATGAATACACCTTCACCTTTCATTCTGAGTGATGTATATAACATGTCCGATATACATACTTCCTCGCCTTCATTGTGAGTAATGCATATTATATATCCTATATGAATACACCTTCACCTTTCATTCTGAGTGATGTATATAACATGTCCGATATACATACTTCCTCGCCTTCATTGTGAGTAATGCATATTATATATCCTATATGAATACACCTTCACCTTTCATTCTGAGTGATGTATATAACATGTCCGATATACATACTTCCTCGCCTTCATTGTGAGTAATGCATATTATATATCCTATATGAATACACCTTCACCTTTCATTCTGAGTGATGTATATAACATGTCCGTTATATATAATATATTCACCGGCATTTCATTGTGGGTAATGCATATTATATATCCTATATGAATGAATACACCTTCACCATTTATTCTGAGTGATGTATATAACATATCCAATATACATACTCACTAGCCTTTCATTGTGAGAAATGCATACTATATATCCTGTATGAATACACATTCAACTTTCATTCCAAGTGAAATATTGCCGATGTGACTTAAAATTTTAACTCATTCCAAGTGAGGTATATAAAATGTCCGCTATACATACACTACCGACCTCTGCATGATGTATATACTATACTTCACACCTTCCATTCTGGGCGATGTATTTAACATGTCAGAAGTACATACTCTCTAGCCTTGCATTGTTAGTAACGCATAATATTGATTGTTTGGTCCAGACTCGATTATTTACAGATCGCCATCATATTGCTGGGATATTGCTGAGTGCGGCGTCAAACAATCACCACTTTGTTAATGTGTGTGAACAAGATTTAAAAAACAACGGTATTCTTGATAAAAAGTGAAGTTCCAGGTTTATTTTCAACGAAATAAACCTCCTTAATTGTTTGTATATGCAAAACAGGATAGTACATTCGTAAAAATAGTGAAATATCTATGTCGGAGGTTCACATGTAAATATTTCAGTGGTGACCCGTGAAGATCCGGGGTAGAATAGGTCTTCAGCAACCCATGCTTGCCATAAAAGGCGACTATGCTTTTCGTAAGAGGCGACTAACGGGACCCGGTGGTCAGGCTTGCTGACTTGGTTGATGCATGTCATCGATCCCAAATGGCGTGGATCGATGCTTGTGATATTAATCACTGGATTGTCTGGTCCAGACTCGATTATTTACAGACCGCCGTTAAACAACAAACAAACACAACAGTGGCCTTAGGTGTACAACAGAACAAGGATATAAAAACGTTTGTTTTTAATTGTTTATTCTAACAAGTAATTAAGATGAAGGTACATCTCGCAATTAGATCATATCATTGGCATTGCCAGCATATGTACGGACATGAAGTGAATACTCAGTACAATGTAACCTCGTTAATCCGTAAATGCGTTCCCCGTGAAATCGTCAGGTTAAAACAGTGTCCGGATGAACGAATCATCGGGTCGACGAAATGCCACGTCGTTTCCAAATATGGAAGAGTTTCCAACAGATTCACCCGGAAAGCGGGTTTCCGGATTCACGGGGTTCGGACTTAAAAGGGTTTTGCTGTGAACCACATTGCAATTACAGCAAAGATATCTAATGGCTAGAACGGTAGAAAAGATGCCACCGTATACATATATTAAAATAATGTAAGTCGCTGGGAAAAATATACAAAAGTATTTAAAAAATCATAAACAAATACTTCTGGAAATTTCCTCGAAATATATGAGTAGAATAAACGCAGACTGGGTGTTTCAGGATTTCCATCTGAGGGAATTATACATACATATATACTCACCGCCAAAAGATACGCGAATACTATAGATGTTGGTTAATATAGGAATAATTATTCATATTCAAGATAAGTAACATTGATTTGATGCACAAACGAACATACTGGTATGTTGTGTGAACCGACGCTCATGAACGCATCACATGTGACGTCATAAATCCATGCAGCATATCGTGATAAGAATGACACTCTGTGGTAGGACTTCATGATCACTGATTGTTAGTTTTTTCATTAGTTGCTACACATTGGAAACATCTCTTCTTTACGCACATTCTTTTCTATATGTTACTATGGTTCGCGTTTCTTTTGGCTGTGAGTATATGTATAGATGACCAGATGCTGAAAACAAACATATATGCTGAGATCCCTGTAAATTAAGTCGTGTCTTTGAATACATTTTGAAGTTCCATCATGTTCAACTGAAAATGAATTATTGACTATCCTTAGAAAAATAAAGATATGGTTCTGCCAAGAGCATTGTGCATGACTGGTACCCGGGTAACCATTCTGTCGTTGTGACAGCTACACATTCCATCACACCACCGAAGCAATAGTCACATGAACTCAGGAAGGTTCTCCATATAAATAGCACAAGTCACTGTTTTTATCACAGAATTGCATACGAGTCCATGTTCAATAACTTAACCTTTTCGTGAACACCTGGTGTCATTACTGATTTTCAGTGGTCCATTCATATAATTTCCGCTATATGGCCCTTTGCGTCAAGTGGAATCTGTTTCGGCAGAAAATCTAGGCTGGTTGTTCTCTTGAATTGGCAATCTATATTTAACCGTGGGTAGTTGTACCATGGCAACCACTTCAGCATCTACACATTCCATCACAACACACAGCCAATGGTCTTTCGGACCGAATAAGGTCTCCTTATAACGATCACAGAGTGCTGACTCCACACATTGCCATCCTGCAGGTTTTCTGTCTGTCGGTGGTACGTCCGCACATCATACAACAGACTGTGGGGTATGTTTCTGTTTCTGTTCTTTGGCTAGTTCACAACACAGGTCCCAAACATCCTTGTATAGTTTGTCATTATGCCCAATAACATGTTCTATGGTATCGAGTATGCTGTCAATCTTAACATATCCATCTTCATTGCACCGTGACCATTCTTCCAGGGCCTTGTGGATCTGTTCCCTTACATCACCCTGTTCCTCCCATTGAATCTGCTCACATCGACTGGTTACATTCGATCTAAAGTCAGCATCCCCTGGAGAGTTATAAATGAGAAAATAAAATATCTTAACTGTCACGACAAGTGTAAAATCACATATTGGGGAACTCAACACGGTATTAAACTACATACCCTATAAAACCATCAAAGAGGCACATTGGCGGTCACAGCAAATGAGAATCAAATGTTTCAAATGTCACCAGTGCTCTTCAGAATAGCCGTCTAGTACTAAACAATGGCCCTACTCACTGTGGGACAATGTCTCATTTTCATGTATGGAGTGAATGAGTAAGTATGATTTTACGCCGCTTGTAGCAATATTCCAGCAATAACACGACGGATGGGCTTCACAAATTGTACCCATGTCGGGAATCGAACCCGGGCCTTCGGCATGACGAACGGACGCTTTAACCACCAGGCTACCCGACCGCCCCTTTTCATATACCCATGTATCACCTTAATGCAAAACGGAAATGGTAACAGATTCTTGACCGTGGAATACACTGTCCCTTTAATTGTACCGTCTACTTCATAGAGGAATGTTGCTGCCCACGGCGTTAATCAAACCTGAAACCTAAATCTATTTGTAGTGCAGGTTTAACGTAACTCTACCTGGAAGGTATCTCATGAATCGTTTCCAGTTCGTGAGTCTGCTGCACAGGAGGTCGAACACTCTCAGCTTCCACATGTCTGGATCTGCATTTGATAAAAGGATGGAATTATACATATGACAAAAACCTTATGTTTTATTCACATTATACTCCCAGGAGTACAAAACAGAATACATTTTGATTCACTAGTCTCTTTGGAATAGTTACAATATACACTATAGCTTACAGCCTCCGCCCTCATGATCGTGGTGGAGTTCCGGAACTGTACCGCGGAGTTTACGGTGTACGTTTTTGTAATAGGGGGGTACGCTTTGTGGAATAAACGCGGTACGGTAGCGGAATTAACGTATTGTTTAGCTGTGGTATTGCTAAAACATTACGGGTGAGTACTTGCGAGTAGTAATGTACATATACATGATGCCCAAGTAAACATCTACTTGTATACCTAAAGTATAGGGGGCACGGGTGGCCCAGTCGTCTAAGGCGCCGCGATTCGCTGTGCAGAGTTGCGTCCCTTGGGCACACCAGAAACTTATGATTGTGGGTTCGAATCCCGGTTCGCCCCGATTATGTTTCTAGGTTTGTCAGCACCATACCTGTGCCTGTGGCTTTCACCGAAGTGGTAAACGTCTGAAACCTGCGTCACTTCGGGCTTTCCTCCCACATTAAGCTGACACGTCGCGATATAACTGGAATACTGTTAAAAGCGGCGTTAAACCCAACTCACACACACACACACACCTAATGTATGCTCACTAAGAAAAGAGAATGAGGTTTATCAATACCACTAAGATCGGGAAATGATGACACTGTTCTTGCGCTGACAGCACTACTACCACTGAATGTTCTTTGTTTTTTCCTTGGTGGTTGAGTTGAACACGTGGAGTTGGATCTGTCAATTAGGGGTTCAGTGACTCTAAGAACAAACAAATATAAAAACACTTTATATAAACAGAGATACTGAAAGTCACATTCTCATCGAAACAAATCAGGCACATATTCGTTTGTCAATGGAAAGTGAGTGAATGAATATTGGTTTACAGGGCTCCAAAGCCGTACAATTTTATGGCGACGACCCAAGAGCACATGCACTGATGGAAAACTGTTGCATCATCACGATAATGGTAAGCCTATTTGTTACATACAAATGTTTTACAATCAAAGCTACTGTTAAACATGTTGGTCCTAACTGGAAAGCACATTTGATGTATTACCTTCTTTCATTCAGTTCAATGCTGTAGATCCCCTTTTGACCTTTTCTTGCCATAACATAACGTACTGCTAGAAGTACTGCCGCAGCAATGAGGGACAACAGAACTACTGGAACAACCACGACTACCACGCCTATATTGCCATCCTTCTTGTGGGTCGTTATTTCTGGGATTCCCGTAACTAATTCGGTCGTATCTGCAAACAAGGAGAAGATAATCATATTTTATATCCTGAACAAATTATTGTTATCAAAACAAATAATTTAAGCTCTCCCCCACCCCACCCCTCCCATCGCTATCTAATTAGGTTATTGAGTCTCATCAAACCGATAACATTGTTACTTGAAACATTTAATTGATATATTTAAAAATGAATATTCTAATTTTATCTTTGTTTCAATCTCAGTCTTAATGTTTAGATAACACAATAAGGTCTATATGTAGTTTGATCTTCACGCTGGGTGCAATACAATGTATGTGAAGCCCAGCACTACTTGGAATATTGCTAAAAGCGTCATGAAAAACACATCACTATTACTTTGTTTGAATGTGTGTGTGTGTGTGTGTGAGAGAGAGAGAGTGTGTGTGTGAGAGAGAGAGAGAGAGAGAGAGTGTGTGTGTCTGTGTGTGTGTCTGTGTGTGTGTGTCTGTGTGTGTGTGTAGGAGAGAGAGAGAGTGTGTGTGTGTGTGTGTGTGTGTGTGTGTGTGTGTGTGTGTGTGTGTGTGTGTGTGTTCTTAAGTTACATTACATATGTACCAGTGTGTAAGAAAGAGAGTGTGTACCAGTTCTCCTACCATTTGTGTGATGATGAAGACACTGGGCATCAGAAGTTTCATTACAGGGTTTGAGCTGCGTGTTGTTCTCCCCACTACACGAGCTGCATGTCCGACACTGTCCATCCCTGGAGAACTGACCCTCTGGACAATAACCACATTCGGTATCTGATGTTGATGTCCCTGGAACAGTAGAACACGAGAGAGAGGGCTATTACTGTTGTCAATGAATATTGCGTTTCTCAAACAACTTTCATAAATCGCAATGTAACGTTTAAGAAATCTTTTATTTATTTACTTCATTTATCCTTACAACCCAAATATGTACTTTTTACTGTAGAAATATCAAACTTCCTTTGCTCCTATAATATATTTTTTCTTCTCCTGTAAAACAGAAAATAATACCATAACTGTTATTCTATAATTAATAAATATATTGTTACTTATAAACATTCAACATAACAATTCTTACCGGGGTTTTTTATAACTTGTCCCTCGGGGCAGGAACTGTATATTTTACATATTTTTATATCGGAGAACACGTCTTTCACCTGTAAATAATACCCTTGTTTACACTGACACTTCACATCATGGGTGGATGTACAACTCTCAACCACCTCCATGTTGTCGTCATGGAGACAGAATGTCTGGCAAGGGGAGCACTCTGTTGCCTGGCTGTAGTGAGACTGGAAGGTGCCAACAGGGCAGTCATTACACACAGAATATGTGAAGTCCCCAGTACAGTGCTTGTCTACGTATGTTCCAGGTGGACACTTGAAACAGGTGACTCCATCATGGGGGTAGGTTCCCAGGTGAGGGGTGTCTCTTATAATCTGTAATCAGAAACATGCTCCTATATTACGTGGTAGTTACATATGTTCTCTGTCTTGACTACAACATATTACAGATCCCCATGTACATGACCAGGAAAGAATTACTATTTTGCGTGCAATCTGACGCTATATTATCTATATGAGACGTTGTCTGGGAACACAGGAATAACTGGAGTTATGTTTACCTGTTGTGTTATCAGTTCGTATCCTATTGTGTGACCAGACAGCATATAATTTTTTACTGTGCCTCAAAGTGAGATTGACCAATCAGAGAGCAGAACTACTGACCCCACATGAGCGTATACCGTCAGTTTAAATCCAAGATGGTTGATACTGACCTAATATTAGACCATATGCCGTCAGTAACAGCCATTTTGGATTTTCAAACACCCACCTCACATATTTCACATGAAAATTCGGGTACCGGAATTCGTTATTTGACATTGTTTTGTGTTTTAATATCATTAATTGTGATCTTCTGGGATGTTAATCTGTTTTTTAGATCACGTTCTTGTTGATAAAGATTATAGTTAATTTGTCAACAAGCTTTGCCCTCTAAGGTTTGAAGAGTAGTCTCCCTTTGACCCTTAATGTCAACCTACGGTTGTAATTGTCAAGTTTTCATTTTGACATGACACGTTCGATATGGATGTCAGGGAGTGTAAACTTTTCGGCATAACAAATTCGTTATGGTGTCTTTAGTTGCCGTATACGGTGTGATATTAGGTTAGCAGGAAAATATTTACACGGTATACGGCAACTAAAGACACCATAACTAATAACATGAACCGTAAAAGAATATTGGACACTGTCTCTAATTGTGGTACAAAGTTATGAGGTCTTACCCAATACTCTTAGGAAATCAGAATTACTAATGCCATTGAGAAATGTGAATTTAATAAATATAATAAATACTTACAGCCGCCAAACATGTTGTTGGCAAAACCGTCATAAAACAGAGAGCCGTTTGTAATCTCAATCCAGGGTGGAAATATGTCAACGTCATTGTCGCTGCTGTGTCCTGGTGACAATGAAATAGGCCTATGTATACGTATTACCATACTGTTATACCACACGGGATAAACTCCGAAACTCAGTGTGATCAGTCAATCACAGAAACAGAAGGCATATTGAGGTCATTCTCAGAAATACACGGACTGTTTGGACAACCACATCAACTGTCCTGATCAGCCGATTGTCGCCTCGTGAGTCATACTCTAATTTCATATCACGAATCTTGTCCTTGTTTATTCCCCACCACCGTCTCAATGTCAAGGGAATACTAGTACACGTATCTGTACTCAGTAGGTCTATCGGTCGAATGTAGGTCTACCCGGACTACATTGAGAGCCCATTCACAAATGTAGGTCGCGTGACATATACTTTGAACCCTCGCGTCAAACCTCGAACCTTCTATATGACATGAATGTGTACAAACCTTGGTTAGGTATATGAGAACGCTATCTATGTAAGTCGCGGCGTCATCGTTTTTTCACGTTCAGTGGTTGCGCCGCATACCTTAACAAGTAATCATTTACGCAATGCCATAACAAATATATCTTATATATAGTATCGGACATTATGCCTTTAGCATCAAGGAATGGTTCTTTGAAGTTACGACATCGCATATATTTTTTACTCAATTTCCTTTCTTAAAGGGGCGGTCGGGTAGCCCAGTGGTTAAAGCGTTCGCTCGTCACACCGAAGACTCGGGTTCGATTCCCGACATGGATACAATGTGTGAAGCCCATTTCTGGTTCCCCCCGCCGTGATATTGCTGGAATATTGCTTAAAGCGGCGTAAAATCAAACTCACTCACCCTTTCCCGAAAAATATAGTCCGCCTCTATGGTCTTATGCTTGGAGAGCGGAATGACGCTGGTTTAATTATCTGGATGCGTCATACCAAACTATGTTGAAAGATGGTACTTGTTGTCATCGTGCCTGGTGCTCGGCATTCGGCTAAAACACAAGAAGGGGTCGGGTTTAACTCAGTAAACTGTGTCTGAGTGGGGTATTCTTGATAAACTTCAGCATGATATCTCAGTGGGCTAGCACTATAAAATCGGCATTAGTCCGGACTAGTAGAACTAAGCAACTACGCTGACACACACAGTATGCAGAAAATGCAGTAGTCTTGGACGAGACCTTAAGCCCCATACACCTTTCATCCCCACCCTCTTTAACGACACTAAGACCTATGTGGAGTCGCTTATCCAGTGCATCTGCATCTGGCATCATTTGTAACTTTCCTCCACATCAAGCTGACACGTGGAGATTCAGCTGAAATACTGTTTAAATCGACGTAAAAGCCAACCCAATCACTCTTTATTCAAAGCCGACCCGTGAAGATTCCTGGGTAGAATAGGTCTTCAGCAACCCATGCTTGCCGTAAAAGGTGACTATGCTTGTCGTAAAAGGCGAATTACGGGATCGACGGTCAGGCTCGCTGACTTGGTTGATGAATGTCATTGATCCCAACTGCGTGGATCGATTCTCATGATATTAATCACTGGATTGTCTGGTCCAGACTTGATTATTTACAGACCGCCGTCATATAGCTGGAATATTGCTGAGTGCGGCGTCAAACAACAAACCAACCAACCAATTATTCAAAGCCTAGTCACTCAGGAATGAATGAGGTGGAGTCCTTGCAAGCGCTTGGGACATCGTACATTCACTCAAGGTTGAATAAGGTGGAGTCCTTGCAAGCGCTGTGGACATATGCATCGTACATTCACTCGTGGTTGAAAAATGTGGAGTCCTTGCAAGCGCTGTGGACATCGTACATTCACTCATGGTTGAATGAGGTGGAGTCCTTGCAAGCGCTGTGGACATCGTACATTCACTCGTGGTTGAATGAGGTGGAGTCCTTGCAAGCGCTGTGGACATCGTACATTCACTCATGGTTGAATGAAGTGGAGTCCTTGCAAGCGCTGTGGACATCATACATTCAGTCATGGTTGAATGAGGTGGAGTCCTTGCAAGCGCTGTGGACATCGTACATTCACTCATGGTTGAATAAGGTGGAGTCTTGCAAGCCCTGTGGACATCGTACATTCACTCATGGTTGAATAAGGTGGAGTCTTGCAAGCCCTGTTGACATCGGAGGTCACCTGTTCTCTGAAACAAGCTGGCACAAACAACGATCTTGAGGATTTTCATAACAGAGTGAATCGAGAACTACCCAACGACCATCCAAATATTTACCGCTTCATTGAAGTTACTAGTATTCAGAGAATCGAGAGGGCTGCCCGCACGAAGATGGCCCAGATCGATTTCGGAGCAGCCCCACCCAATCTGCAGGCTTCTATGCAGACAATTCAAACATACAGTGCTATTGATATTGTGCTAAACAAAGACAGATATACATTGTTAAAAATAATGATGAATTTTTATATATTAATATGTTTACTTTTCTACATTATCTTATATTCCTTGTGTATAAGTTCACTCATATAGATCACTTTTCTAATAGATCACTCCATTCTAATACTTAGGTAAAATAGGGTAGACCAATCAGTGCATTCAGCCATGACCTATGATGTTTAAAGGTGTATGTCAAATGGGACGTATAACTAATGTAAGGTTACCTGCGTAACACATGTCTTTTTGTGAGGACGTTCTGCGTATCCAGTGAACAGCAAATATTGTGATAAATCCTTGGGAACCACCCTCATCAGTCAACATCATAATTAAAATAAACTTTCAAATGAAACGAACAACTCTGTATTTAACATCAAATACTTATACAGTCATAATTTCCATTACTACAAGACCTTGATCAGTGATAACCTATAAAACATCAGAATACTCAGAATAGAAACAAGCATGAGCGGATGGAAGAAAGTAGAAAGATGGCACTACAGCAGCTACATTTGGAGTAGCCAAGACGGTCCGTTTTACAGTTGGAGCAATACAGTTTTGTGTGTGGACGTGAAATTGAGCCTAACCTGATTTCCCCACGGGTGAAGTCTGTATGCACACAACGCAGCTCACACACACACACACACACACACACACACACACACACATGCACTGTTATTTCTGCCTGTCTGCCTACGTGGCTGTGACGCGTGGGACCACGGAAGGCTTGAGTAGTAAATATTTGTTTTATATATATTTGTAAATATATATGTACATAACCGCAGGAATACCCTACGCGCTACGAGGAATTACGCATTGTCTGTCCCAAGTGAAATATTTTCCGAGCTTTTGGCGTATTTATTTGTTTCGTTTTAAAATGTATAATTTACGTTGCCGATCAACGGTTCATCAGCTTCGCAAACAACGAAGACAATGGAACATTTGGCGTGAGAAAAATTAGGTAATGCTCGTTGAAAATAACTTCTGTGATACCCGTGCCCCTATGAGTAATAGTCCATGTTATCTGACAAATTGTCAGCATTTCACTAATCGTCATCGTCTTACAGATAATGTTGACTTTGGGGCATAATAGGAAAAGTGCTGTGGGAGCAATTATTGTATAACCATTGCGGGATGGGTTGTTGTTTGTTACAGGCTCTGAATATTGTTCTGCCATAGCTTCACGGCATTCCTTTCAATGAAACAGCGAAAATACTTTCGGATCCGCAACACAATAAATACAATGGTTTTTTTCTCTTGGAACAGAAATCTATGTTATCAACACTTATAAACAACAAATTAAATCTCCAGGGGAGAAACAGGTCAATAGGCACCCGTTAGATTTTCATAAAAGGGAGTATTTACGTCCTTGTTATTCAAGTCAATGGGAGAGCTGCGCTAAGGAGATCAACATACATTAAATAGGTCTTCAGCAACCCATGCTAGCCCTAAAAGGCGACTATGCTTGACGAAAAAGGCGACTATGCTTGACGAAAAAGGCGACTATGCTTGACGAAAAAGGCGACTATGCTTGACGAAAAAGGCGACTACTGGGATCGGGTGGTCAGGCTCCCTGACTTGCCTGATACATGTCATCGTATCCTAATGTGTAGATTCGATGCTCATGATGTCAATCACTTCATTGTCTGGCCCACTATCGATTTTACACATCGCTGTCATATATTGCTGAGTACGGCGTTAAACAACAAACAAACAGGTCAATAGAACGGATCATTTAACAACAGGCCAGTTTTTAAATGTGCGTCTCAGTGAAGCTGATGGACGACATCACAGACCAAGCTAAGAGAATGTTGATTGTTTTAATTGCCAATCATGTTGTACACAACAACTACCATGAAAGAAACATTGCTGACAATGGCGTGAATTTCGGATCCACTAAGTTTCGGACTTAGCCAGAGTTTACTTTCGGATCCAGTGTGCATTACGGATACGTCACGTTAACTTGCTATCAACTACTGTTGAAATCCCTAAAGTGGAGGTAAAATCCGAGAAATGTAGTCTCGGTTAAAGAAAGAGAAGATTTCGCCGCGATCCAGTGTTTGGGTCCGAAATTACGCAACACTGTACGCAAGCCAGGTACGAGCCTGGTTCACAGCACATTCAAGATGAGATAGATGTATTTGTTGTCTTGTGGCAGCCGTATCAGTGCTACACAAAGTAGTCGGTGGAAACTATTTCGATAACACTGATACTGTCCATGTAAACAATATTGTTATATAAAAAGTAAGATCTACTGACAATAATTTCACTGATATTTCATGCTCCCAATAGGGTAAGATTCGACACTCCTTCCAATGGCAAATAGGTTATCCTCGTGCTGTTAAAGTCACTGTATGGACTCTCTAGATCTGATAATTTCACTGTACAGGAGTACAACGTTTGACACTGACCAACTATTGTCAATAACGAAAGCAGCATTTATTTCATATTATTTATTATCAATGATTTCTGATTCAAATGTACCCTGGGGTTTATATATATATATACCCATGTCCATTAAAATGCACGTGTCTGTACATGAGGACCAAATAAAGACTATCCATGTTAACCTGATATTATCGTACCCTGTCCTTTATTGTCTAATTAATGTAAAAACAGAATCAGGTTAATACCCAATTGGAATATTTGGCCCTCCACCCCCTCAACTCACTACCTGGATCTGATTTGCCGAAGCAAATTTAGATTCAATAGTTCACTTTTGAGTTACAACATTTTATTACCCAATTATTTTTTTATATTTTGTTTGCCCCCTTGTGACAGAAATACGAATCTTGACCTTATATCAATATGCACATAATTACATGCATACATACACACACACACACACATACACACACACACACACACACACAGTGGTAATTATAATTTGGCCGAACAACAATTGTGACGGCATATCTCGATGCAACTTAAAACAACCATTGCGATGATCAATGTGATGTTTACTGTTTGTTTGGTAAGGAAATTACAGCATCCTGAATGAGTGAAGGGACCAACGGACAGACCATTACAACAATTCAGCCGGTCATCGACAAATTAATTTAATGAATCCTGAAATCACAAGTTCATTTAATATATATTTGCTGTAACTCTACGCTGTTTTGTTTTCTTCTGGGATTGTTTCATTCAGCCTCATGGCTGCATCTGACACCCTTTTCCACAAGTCCTCAGTATCTTGCATCGACTCCAATGAAGCTAGAACGCTCTCCACAGAAACATTTGGCCACACACATGCTTGCGTCCACTCTCTGAGAGCAGTGTAGATTTGTTCCGGGACGTTGTTTCTGACCTCATCACAAATCTGCTCACACCGAGCGTCAACTGATGATTTGTATTCTTCGTCACCTGAAACAAATCACAAAATATACAGATGTGCGAGAACGGGATTTTACACTTCGATCGATTACACATTACAGGATAATTTAAAGGGATAGCAGTGCAACAGTTAGATAAGACCAACCAACGGTGACAGTCACTGTTAAATAATTAATTATTATATAAAACGATGCTAGTACAGAAAGGTACATGAGTAGGGCTATGGTAATGGGTAATTAGTAATTGGTCCCAGTCCCATCAGAATAGATCTGACCTTATTAGAAGACCTCTCCAAGTGAATCGACGTGCATGCAGTATGTCACTCAAGGCTTAATGTAGGAAATCGCACATTGACCTCAATAATGAAATATTATGCCCTTTTTACTCTCTCTTTTAACTGAACTGTAACATTATTGGGAAACAAAACATTAACATTGGTTTGGGGACATTTTTTGGTAAAAATGAGTCCATATTATATTTTGGTAGTACTTTCAAGAGCAAGTTATTCGAATTGTATTATAAATACAATCCCAGACCCTCCCAATCCGATAGTGAAGGTAGTCATGTTTCAATACATGATTTCTTTATTATTTCATTTTAATACAAAATGATAGCTTTTGTTGCTTGATATAGGTAATTTCCTTGAAGGCCCTGTAACCCGATATCTCGATATATGTTTTGTTGAAAGCACTTTGAGTTAACCGAGCTTACCTCATTCGATATGCAGGGCTTAAATGATGTTAGACATTGTCCTAATGGTACAACTCAAGGTGTACAGTCATGAGTCATTACTCAGTTATTATAGAATTTACTGGTACAACAATTGAAGTCTGTGGCTTGAAGCTTATCCATGTATATTCGTTATTACCAAAGTATTTAATTCACCCGTCAATGATTTAAATAATATATTTGGAGATGTTACCTGGTAAATGTCGCATAAACATTTTCCAATTTCCAGTTAGGTGGGTACATAAAATCTTGAAAATTGGTTCAGTCCAGGAAGTTGGCTCTGCAATAGTTGCACAAAGACGTGTTAGTAAATATTCAAGAGTGTCACATGTTATCAGGAAATATTCAACTGGACGGCCAGTGGAGTGTCACATGTTATCTGGAAATATTTAACTGGACGGCAAGTGGAGTGTCACATGTTATCAGGAAATATTCAACTGGGCGGCCAGTGGAGTGTCACATGTTATCAGGAAATATTCAACTGGACGGCAAGTGGAGTGTCACATGTTATCAGGAAATATTCAAGTGGACGGCCAGTGGAGTGTCACATGTTATCAGGAAATATTCAAGTGGACGGCCAGTGGAGTGTCACATGTTATCAGGAAATATTCAACTGGACGGCCAGTGGAGTGTCACATGTTATCAGGAAATATTCAACTGGGCGGCCAGTGGAGTGTCACATGTTATCAGGAAATATTCAAGTGGACGGCCAGTGGAGTGTCACATGTTATCAGAAAATATTCAAGTGGACGGCCAGTGGAGTGTCACATGTTATCAGGAAATATTCAAGTGGACGGCCAGTGGAGTGTCACATGTTATCAGCAAATATTCAAGTGGACGGCCAGTGGAGTGTCACATGTTATCAGGAAATATTCAACTGGACGGCCAGTAGAGCGTCACATGTTATCTGGAAATATTCAAGTGGACGGCCAGTGGAGTGTCACATGTTATCAGGAAATATTCAAGTGGACGGCCAGTGGAGAGTCACATGTTTTCAGGAAATATTCAACTGGACGGCCAGTGGAGTGTCACATGTTATCAGGAAATATTCAAGTGGACGGCCAGTGGAGAGTCACATGTTATCAGGAAATATTCATCTGGACGGCCAGTGGAGCGTCACATGTTATCAGGAAATATTCAAGTGGACGGCCAGTGGAGTGTCACATGTTATCAGGAAATATTCAAGTGGACGGCCAGTGGAATGTCTGGTAATGAATACTGCTTTCGGCATTGTTATGATGTTATACGACCGACGCTGGGAAACAGCTTCACAGTCAAACACACTAAAACGAGCTCGGTTTTTTAGGGTGATGGAAGAAAAACAAGGGTATTTGTGTAACCTAAAATGTATGCTGTTGTTAAAGCATGATGGCCTATTGACACGTAACTACAATTTAAAACCCATAAATCATGTTTAATAATGGACTGATGTGTTTGCTACCTTTAAGTCCTAAATAGATGCTGGATCTCCGAGATGTCTGTAGTGGAATTAAGGATGACCTTCTCCTTAAACCTATAGCTTGTGTCGTGGTCCCACTATTAGCTGTTGGTGTGGGCACTCTCGTAGTTGCTTGTGGAGATGAAACCCCCAACAAGGGCAGCGCACTGAAAATGCACCATACATTATAAACTGTTATTCTATGAAAATAAGATTTGATTTGTCTGTTCAGTATATCATTCAACATGAGACTTAATTCTCCGGGGAGAGGGGGTGGCCCAGTCGTCTAAGGCGCCGCGATTCGCTGTGCAGAGTTGCGTATCTTAGACACGCCAGAAACCTATGATTGTGGCCCGTTCGCCCCGATTATGTTTCTAGGTTTGTCAGCACCATACCCGTGCTCGTGGCTTTCACCGAAGTGGTAAACGTCTGAGACCTGCATCACTTCGGGCTTTCCTCCCACATTAAGCTGACACGCCGTGATATAACTGGAATACTGTTAAAAGCGGCGTTAAACCCAACTCACACACCCACTAATTCTCCGGCTGTGCCGATACAGGGCTATCTCATTGTAATGTTCAGGATGTATAGGAGTGTCCAAGGATGCAGTCAGTCATATGGCCTGTATATAAACGAGTTTGAAGCAGCCCGATCAGTGACTTGAAGCAATGATCAGTGATCCACACTCTTGGAGCACAGTGACCTGCAATTAGCCAAATCATAGTTTGACCACCGGATTCTCTTTTGTCGGCTCTTGTGACAAACATGGTTGATGTGGATATATTCATACCATAATCCTCTCTGGGCGAATCTGATATAATTACGAATATGATTGACTTAGGGTATTTATGGTCATACAGTATCACCGTGTTGGTCCATTATCCGACACTTGATAGAAAGAGAGCGGAAAAAAAAATATCTGAAGTTGGGTGTTTGTCATGTGTAAGAAAACCCCAAAGGAATATGATCTATCTCCATACATAACATACCTATTTGAGGAATAAATGTTTCTTCGACGCCTCCTACAAAGAAAGCACAGTGCTGCTAATACGCTGACGAAAACACAAACCAGCACGCCAGTAGGTATTAGCACTGATAGATTATTGGTCGCTTTGTGACGGTCATCATGCTTTGGAAGAATACCAACTTCATCTGAAACAGAACCGCAGAGAAAACATTACATTTTAGCAATTAACAGGTTCATGTTAATTCGTCATCACATTGAGGTTGGAAAAACTAATTTGAATGCATTGTAGTAAGACACGTAGAATCAACCCGTTGAGTGAGTGAGTATGGTGTTACGCCGCTTTTATCAATATTCCAGCAATATCACGGCGGGGGACACCAGAAATAGGCTTCACACATTGTACCCATGTATGGAATCGAACCCGGGTCTTCAGGGTGGCGAGCGAACGCTTTAACCACTAGGCTACCCGACCGCCCGAATCAACCTGTTGAATAATTCAACTAACCATATGTGGCCACCCATCTCGTCCACTTGTGAAATATAATGCATGATCAAAGGTACTATGGTCTTCCAGAAAGTAATTCATTGTTTCGAATAATTTAGAATTAAGTAAATATTCAACTTATCTCACAGTAAAATGTACAATAACACAGTTAATGAATCGCTGCATTAGATAGTGCCACGTTGTCAACACTGCTTAGATGTACATGCACTTTGAGTTCCAACCCAAGGGGATCGTTTCACATACCCTCGACATGTACCACGTCCAGCTCGGAACATATGGTGTTTTCGTTGTGACTGCAGTGCTTCAGAACTGTGGAGTTGTCGCTGCATAACGTGCACTGTTTACAGTTACCTCCCTGGAAATAAAACCCGGAAGCACAGTGTCCACACTCCTGGTCAGACACCTTTGTCCCTGGATACAGAGAAGGAATATCTTACAATCAATGATAATAAAGGAACATTGTGATCTTAGCCATCATTGTTTGCATTTAGAAGAAGACTGAACAGAAAAGACCTTTGTGTTCGAAAAACGCATCAGTCGGAAAGCGCACGTTAAATCTCCAAAGTAAGTAAGTAAGTAAGTAAGAAAAGACCTTTGTCCCTGGATGCAGAGAAGGAATATCTTACAATCAATGATAATAAAGGAATATTGTGATCTTAGCCATTATTGTTTGCATTTAGAAGAAGACTGAACAGAAAAGACCTTTGTCCCTGGATGCAGAGAAGGAATATCTTACAATCGATGATAATTACGGAACATTGTGATCTTAGCCATTATTGTGTGCATTTAGAAGAAGACTGAACAGAAAAGACCTTTGTGTTCGAAAAACGCATCAGTCGGAAAGCGCACGTTAAATCTCCAAAGTAATTATAAGTAAGTAAGTAAGTAAGAAAAGACCTTTGTCCCTGGATGCAGAGAAGGAATATCTTACAATCAATGATAATAAAGGAATATTGTGATCTTAGCCATTATTGTTTGCATTTAGAAGAAGACTGAACAGAACAGACCTTTGTGTTCGAAAAACGCATCAGTCGGAAAGCGCACGTTAAATCTCCAAAGTAAGTAAGTAAGTAAGTAAGAAAAGACCTTTGTCCCTGGATGCAGAGAAGGAATATCTTACAATCAATGATAATAAAGGAATATTGTCATCTTAGCCATTATTGTTTGCATTTAGAAGAAGACTGAACAGAAAAGACCTTTGTCCCTGGATGCAGAGAAGGAATATCTTACAATCGATGATAATTAAGGAATATTGTGAACTTAGCCATTATTGTTTGCATTTAGAAGACTGAACAGAAAAGATCAAGTGAATCAGGGCATAGTGAGAAGAACAGCAGAAGAAAATGTAATATAAGGGTAACGCTATTTTCCAAGGCATTATCATCTGCAGAAGCCTGAGGACTTCTACTTACAAGACCGAGGGCTTTTGCGAATGATAAAGCCCTGAAAAAATACTGTTTCCGTTATTTTAGCTAAACTGGATGGAATTTGTTATCAAATAAAAAGAAACAACAATATCAGTTTTGAAACATTTACTGCAATCAACACGAATATAACTGACCCACTTTTACAAACCAGATGACGTCACTTTTGAACGTGACGTCACCTATCCCTATCATATGACGTCACCTAACAACGGGCGTGATATTGGGCCTTCTACCATGAATTTGGAATTTACTCGATTCTGATTGGTCAATCAGAGGCTATTAAATCACAATAAACCCCCTCTGATTGAAACAGCTGGTTTGACGGCCGCATCACCGCGGAAGCTAATATTGATAGAATAGTACTATTTTCAGTCATTGTCGGTAGGCATATTTAAATAACTATATCTCCAATTACAGGTTACAAAATGCACGGATGCGGTTACTACAATATTCAAAGGATGTGTGGCAATACATTTCGTGCAGAAAAACACGACAGAAATCAACAAAGGGAATGTATTTACGTTTTGGAGACAACAGAGAGCTTGAAATTTTGGCGCTTTTCTATATACGACTGTGACGTCATATCTTTTGCGTCACAATGAGAGATATGACGTCATAATGGTGACGCGCGATGTAGAGCGAAAGCCATGCAAAGCTTGCTTTGTTTTCTTTAGGGATGCCCACCTCATGTTAGCTTACCAAGTTGCCGTGCTTATATGCTTCCAATGCCTGTCATATGTTCGAGTGAAGTATTACGGTGTTAACAAACTGCCTGAGTATATACAGCACCATATTTAGTTCGGTGATTCGGTAATTCAGATCGATAACCCACTCAAAACACTGAACTCAACCCATGCCGCTTCACACAGTATATTTGCTAACACCAAAGAGTTCGCGTTTTATTTAGTCATGGTAGAATGGAGATAAACATACTGTGTTTTCAATGTAGAGCTAGGTTACCTGTAGATTTAACCGCGCTAAATATAACATTTGAAACCTCACGCTGCGCGTTCGGTTCCAAATTCAATTTAGCGGGGTTAAATCTACAGGTAACCTACCTCTACATTGAAAACACAGTATGTTCATCTCCTAATTATCAAGTTACAGTGGCCCGCGCATTTCTGATAACATGCGGGCGGTTTAATAATAGTTCTATCCATTTTAGCTATAAGACCATATTAAGGAAAAAGTCATGTAAGTTATACTGAAGCAGCCATGAGGCAAATAGAAGGATGCAGGCTGGTGTTGCCTAACATAGTCAGGCATAGCACTGGCATGAAAAAGCATGTATCAAACAAAACAATATAAGAAAAAATCAAAACACGTCCTCAGACAAGGAGAAGACAAGGATAAGAGAGACAATACAAGCATGTAAGACAAGGATAAGAGAGACAAGACAAGCATGTAAGACAAGGATAAGAGAGACAAGACAAGCATGTAAGACAAGGATAAGAGAGACAGAAAGGCATGTAAGACAAGGATAAGAGAGACAAGACAAGCATGTATGACAAGGATAAGAGAGACAAGACAAGCATGTAAGACAAGGATAAGAGAGACAAGACAAGCATGTAAGACAAGGATAAGTGAGACAAGACAAGCATGTAAGACAAGGATAAGTGAGACAAGACAAGCATGTAAGACAAGGATAAGAGAGACAAGCCAGGCATGTAAGACAAGGATAAGAGAGACAAGACAAGCATGTAAGACAAGTATAAGAGAGACAAGACAAGCATGTAAGACGTGGATAAGAGAGACAAGACAAGCATGTAAGACAAGGATAAGAGAGACAAGACAAGCATGTAAGACACGGATAAGAGAGACAAGACAAGCATGTAAGACAAGGATAAGAGAGACAAGACAAGCATGTAAGACAAGGATAAGAAGGACAAGACAAGCATGTAAGACAAGGATAAGAGAGACAAGACAAGCATGTAAGACAAGGATAAGAGAGACAAGACAAGCATGTAAGACACGGATAAGAGAGACAAGACAAGCATGTAAGACAAGGATAAGAGAGACAAGACAAGCATGTAAGACAAGGATAAGAGAGACAAGACAGTCATGTTAGACAAGGATAAGAGAGACAAGCCAGGCATGTAAGACAAGGATAAGAGAGACAAGACAAGCATGTAAGACAAGGATAAGAGAGACAAGACAAGCATGTAAGACAAGGATAAGAGAGACAAGACAAGCATGTAAGACAAGGATAAGAAGGACAAGACAAGCATGTAAGACAAGGATAAGAGAGACAAGACAAGCATGTAAGACAAGGATAAGAAGGACAAGACAAGCATGTAAGACAAGGATAAGAGAGACAAGACAAGCATGTAAGACAAGGATAAGAGAGACAAGACAAGCATGTAAGACAAGGATAAGAGAGACAAGACAAGCATGTAAGACAAGGATAAGAGAGACAAGACAAGCATGTAAGACAAGGATAAGAGAGACAAGCCAGGCATGTAAGACAAGGATAAGAGAGACAAGACAATCATGTTAGACAAGGATAAGAAAGACAAGACACGCATGTAAGACAAGGATAAGAGAGACAAGACAGTCATGTTAGACAAGGATAAGAGAGACAAGACAAGCATGTTAGACAAGGATAAGAGAGACAAGACAAGCATGTAAGACAAGGATAAGAGAGACAAGACAATCATGTTAGACAAGGATAAGAGAGACAAGACAAGCATGTAAGACAAGGATAAGAGAGACAAGACAAGCATGTAAGACAAGGATAAGAGAGACAAGACAAGCATGTAAGACAAGGATAAGAGAGACAAGACAGGCATGTAAGACAAGGATAAGAGAGACAAGACAAGCATGTAAGACAAGGATAAGAGAGACAAGACAAGCATGTAAGACAAGGATAAGAGAGACAAGACAGGCATGTAACTCAAGGATAAGAGAGACAAGACAAGCATGTAAGACAAGGATAAGAGAGACAAGAAAAGCATGTAAGACAGGGATAAGAGAGACAAGACAAGCATGTAAGACGTGGATAAGAGAGACAAGACAGGCATGTAAGACAAGGATAAGTAAGACAAGACAAGCATGTAAGACAAGGATAAGAGAGACAAGACAGGCATGTAAGACAAGGATAAGAGAGACAAGACAAGCATTTAAGACACGGATAAGAGAGACAAGACAAGCATGTAAGACAAGGATAAGAGAGACAGAAAGGCATGTAAGACAAGGATAAGAGAGACAAGACAAGCATGTAAGACAAGGATAAGAAGGACAAGACAAGCATGTAAGACAAGGATAAGAGAGACAAGACAAGCATGTAAGACAAGGATAAGAAGGACAAGACAAGCATGTAAGACAAGGATAAGAGAGACAAGACAAGCATGTAAGACAAGGATAAGAGAGACAAGACAAGCATGTAAGACAAGGATAAGAGAGACAAGACAAGCATGTAAGACAAGGATAAGAGAGACAAGACAAGCATGTAAGACAAGGATAAGAGAGACAAGCCAGGCATGTAAGACAAGGATAAGAGAGACAAGACAATCATGTTAGACAAGGATAAGAAAGACAAGACACGCATGTAAGACAAGGATAAGAGAGACAAGACAGTCATGTTAGACAAGGATAAGAGAGACAAGACAAGCATGTTAGACAAGGATAAGAGAGACAAGACAAGCATGTAAGACAAGGATAAGAGAGACAAGACAATCATGTTAGACAAGGATAAGAGAGACAAGACAAGCATGTAAGACAAGGATAAGAGAGACAAGACAAGCATGTAAGACAAGGATAAGAGAGACAAGACAAGCATGTAAGACAAGGATAAGAGAGACAAGACAGGCATGTAAGACAAGGATAAGAGAGACAAGACAAGCATGTAAGACAAGGATAAGAGAGACAAGACAAGCATGTAAGACAAGGATAAGAGAGACAAGACAGGCATGTAACTCAAGGATAAGAGAGACAAGACAAGCATGTAAGACAAGGATAAGAGAGACAAGAAAAGCATGTAAGACAGGGATAAGAGAGACAAGACAAGCATGTAAGACGTGGATAAGAGAGACAAGACAGGCATGTAAGACAAGGATAAGTAAGACAAGACAGGCATGTAAGACAAGGATAAGAGAGACAAGACAGGCATGTAAGACAAGGATAAGAGAGACAAGACAAGCATGTAAGACACGGATAAGAGAGACAAGACAAGCATGTAAGACAAGGATAAGAGAGACAGAAAGGCATGTAAGACAAGGATAAGAGAGACAAGACAAGCATGTAAGACAAGATAAGAGAGACAAGACAAGCATGTAAGACAAGGATAAGAGAGACAAGACAAGCATGTAAGACAAGGATAAGACAGACAAGACAAGCATGTAAGACAAGGATAAGAGAGACAAGACAAGCATGTAAGACAAGGATAAGAGAGACAAGACAAGCATGTAAGACAAGGATAAGAGAGACAAGACAGGCATGTAAGACAAGGATAAGAGAGACAAGACAAGCATGTAAGACAAGGATAAGAGAGACAAGACAAGCATGTAAGACAAGGATAAGAGAGACAAGACAAGCATGTAAGACAAGGATAAGAGAGACAAGACAAGCATGTAAGACAAGGATAAGAGAGACAAGACAAGCATGTAAGACAAGGATAAGAGAGACAAGACAAGCATGTAAGACAAGGATAAGAGAGACAAGACAGTCATGTTAGACAAGGATAAGAGAGACAAGCCAGGCATGTAAGACAAGGATAAGAGAGACAAGACAAGCATGTAAGACAAGGATAAGAGAGACAAGACAAGCATGTAAGACAAGGATAAGAGAGACAAGACAGTCATGTTAGACAAGGATAAGACAGACAAGACACGCATGTAGACTGCAGCCGATGTTCACTGAGGGAAAAATATACGATGTATATAGAACTTACCTTTTTTCACTACAACCTGTCCAGGTTGGCAGGGCGTGTATGTGGAGCAGTGACGTATCTCTGCATACCCGACCCCCTGTTTTTGTTCAAAGTATCCCTCCCTGCACTCACAGAGCATGTCATGGGTGGCCGAGCAGCCCTGGACTTGCACCATGTTCCGGTCATGGAGGCAATGGGCGTGGCAGGGTGCACAGCGCGTGGCCTGAGTATGGTAAGTCTGGAAGTGTTGAGGCGGACATCGATGACACACAGAAAAAGTAAAGTTCCTTGAACAGTGGCTGTGGAGGAATGTCCCAGGTTTACACTTCAAACATATATTCTCGCCGTGTGTGTATGTCGTCAGGCGGTCCGAAACCTGGTAATTGAAACATACAATCGGATTTTTAAAAGAGCACTCATTATTGCAATATCATTTATTTACTTCATGATAGGGCATAATTATAATCATGTGTACATTGCATGGTGAATATTGTTTGCTCAGGATAAGGTACGTTAGGGCCCCCTGTTGCCACAGAATATGTCTATATTTGAAAATTTGCAACTCTTAGAAACCATTAAATTTTCAGATGCCATCTGAATGATTAAGAGAGTTTTCCTTTCAAAATGTACATGTTTTGACTTACAAGAAACCTATATGCATATGTACTGCTTATCACTTACGCCAAGCTGAATGTCTCAACGAAAATGTTATTTCGTGTCTCCGAAATCCAGGGTAACGGAACTAGTTTTTTTTATATCACATCAATTATGTATACATGACACTTTTTTATGGAAAGCTACTTCTTTTTATTCTTCTTATCCAAAACAAGTTGGGATGAATGTGCAAAACATTGTGTTGTGTAATATATATATAGTACTCTATGCATTTAGTAAGCATTCACCTGATGAAGGAGCACAAAGTAGCTCTGATACGTCGCACAAAGAACAGAAAGAAGTTTCTATCCATAAAAAAGTGTTATGTATTTATGTTTTCCCAACTTGTAAACGCCTATCAAAGACCACATCAATCAAGTAACGTGAAATTGTCTTTTTGGATGTGCATGAATGAGTACATCTTTTGTCACTGTTTGGAGTCACGGTTTACAATGTTCGGAGTGGACAGATGATGCACTTATAAACTCTCCAAGTTGGTTGGTGTCATCAATTCATTGTGGGAACGTTGGTTCCGCATTCAACTGTCGTCCATAGATATATATAAATCAATATGCATATTGCCCAACAGTCAAGGTAGACATTTAAAGATTGGGTTTATGAGAGTGATGGGTCTTCCTTCAAGATTCATGCTTCAGAACATATCTTTAAAAAAATTGGTATTTTTTTCACAACGCTTAAGACTTGAAAATGATTAGCTCGTCATCTCAATGTGGCGTTCATACTCACGGGAGCTGGGATCGCGGCCGTCTGTAACAGTGATGTCGTTGTTAGTAGCAGGGTAACGTAGATACCGACAGCAGCACCAGGTCCTCGTCTAGGGTACAACATCAGCATCCGTGTTGTGCCCTGCTCTGTGTGTCGGCGAGTACCTTGTTGTGCTACTCGAGTCCCTTGTTTCATGGCTACACTAGATCCCATTCATTTATTCTGAAATTATTAAATAGTTCAATGTCATTTGCAATGTGAGTGAGTATGATTTTTCAACGCCTTTAGCAATATTCCAGCAATATCACGCTGGGAGACACCAGAAATGGGCTTCACACATTGTACCCATGTCGGGAATCGAACCCCGGTCTAAGGCGTGACAGGCCGCTGTAACCACTAGGCCACCCCACCGGCCCTCATTTGCAATATACAGTGATCAGTTGTAATATAAAGCAATTTACAGGAATATTTAGAACATGTAGGTTTACTCCATATACACGGTGTCTAAAATTATAGTACGTGGATGAACACCCGATTGAGGTGTATGTAAGTGCCACTCGTTTCAATCTGAACCAATCGTTTCATTTCATTCAGTTATACAATTCCTACATTTTAACCAAAAAAGATTCTTTTTAAAACAAGTTGCATTAATTATATTAAATCAAGAAAGGATTTGTATCAACCAATCAGGCCTTGTGAACATGAGACACGAGAAATTTGAAAGCCATGGAGGATAATTGTGTGTTCAGTATATGTGGAACCCGTGAAGATCCGCGGTAGAATAGGTCTTCAGCAACCCGTGCTTGCCGTAAAAGGCGACCATGCTTGTCGTAAGAGGAGACTAACCGGATCGGGTGGTCAGACTCGCTGATTTGGTTGATGCATGCCATCGTATCCCAGTGGCGTGGATCGATGCTCATGATTTTAATCAATGGATTGTCTGGTCCAGACTCGAATATTTTCAGACCGTCGTCATATAGCTGAGTGCGGTGTAAAACAACAAACCAACCAACCAGTATATGTGGGCATTGCCACCGGTAGAGAAGGGTATTATGTGGCGAATATTCCATGTCATTTAAAATGAATTGATTTAGAGAAAATATTTCTCTTCTTGTCCTCGAATACCACCAAACGTATAGAAATAGCCAATGTAGTTCAATGTAGACCGAAATAATCGCAAAATACCTAATACAGTTTTGACAATCATCTATATGTGTATCCAGATGTTAGTTAAGGAGAAAGTGAATTAGATTTAGTGGGGTTTGAACCGAATTTTAGGTAATCACGACGTGTCACCCAATGTAAGAAGAGAAAGACTCTAAGTGATTCAGAAGGAAACATTTCACTTATCAATGGGCGAGTCTGAGATTGGATCAGCCCATCCTTGTATCTACTTAGTTTTATTATAGCTACCATACACCAAGGGTGTGTACCTTCGTTTGTCCGGCAGTGTGTTTGCTAGGTGTGTTGTACTAATGTTAGTTTTCTAGATGTGTTGCACTGTTGTTTGTTTGCTAGGTGTGTTGCACTGTTGTTTGTTTGCTAGGTGTGTTGTACTGTTGGTAGTTTTCTAGATGTGTTGTACTGTTGTTTGTTTGCTAGGTGTGTTGTAGTGTTGTTTGTTTTCTAGGTGTGTTGTACTGATGTTTGTTTGCAAGGTGTGTTGTACTGTTGTTTGTTTGCTAGGTGTGTTGTACTGATGTTTGTTTGCTAGGTGTGTTGTACTGTTGTTTGTTTGCTAGGTGCGTTGTACTGTTGTTAGTTTTCTAGATGTGTTGCACTGTTGTTTGTTTGCTAGGTGTGTTGTACTGTTGTTAGTTTTCTAGATGTGTTGTACTGTTGTTTGTTTGCTAGTTGTGTTGTAGTGTTGTTTGTTTTGTAGGTGTGTTGTACTGGTGTTTGTTTGCTAGGTGTGTTGTACTGTTGTTTGTTTTCTAGGTGTGTTGTACTGTTGTTTGTTTGCTAGGTGTGTTGTATTGTTGTTTGTTTGCTAGGTGCGTTGTACTGTTGTTAGTTTTCTAGATGTGTTGTATTGTTGTTTGTTTGCTAGGTGTGTTGTACTGTTGTTTGTTTTCTAGGTGGGTTGTACTGATGTTTGTTTGCTAGGTGTGTTGTACTGTTGTTTGTTTGCTAGGTGCGTTGAACTGTTGTTAGTTTTCTAGATGTGTTGTACTGTTGTTTATTTGCTAGGTGTGTTGTACTGTTGTTTGTTTTCTAGGTGTGTTGTACTGTTGTTTGTTTTCTAGGTGTGTTGTAGTGTTGTTTGTTTTCTAGGTGTATTGTGCTGGTGTTTGTTTGCTAGGTCTGTTGTACTGTTGTTTGTTTTCTATATGTGTTGTACTGATGTTTGTTTGCTAGGTGTGTTGTACTGTTGTTTGTTTGCTAGGTGTGTTGTACTGTTGTTTGTTTCCTAGATGTGTTGTACTGATGTTTGTTCGCTAGGTGTGTTGTACTGATGTTTGTTTGCTAGGTGTGTTGTACTGTTGTTTGTTTTCTAGATGTGTTGTACTGTTGCTGGTTTGCTAGGTGTGTTGTACTGTTGTTTGTTTGCTAGGTGTGTTGTATTGTTGTTAGTTTTCTAGGTGTGTTGTACTGATGTTTGTTTGCAAGGTGTGTTGTACTGTTGTTTGTTTGCTAGGTGTGTTGTACTGTTGTTTGTTTTCTAGGTGTGTTGTATTGTTGTTTGTTTGCTAGGTGCGTTGTACTGTTGTTAGTTTTCTAGATGTGTTGCATTGTTGTTTGTTTGCTAGGTGTGTTGTACTGTTGTTAGTTTTCTAGATGTGTTGTACTGTTGTTTGTTTGCTAGTTGTGTTGTAGTGTTGTTTGTTTTGTAGGTGTGTTGTACTGATGTTTGTTTGCTAGGTGTGTTGTACTGTTGTTTGTTTGCTAGGTGTGTTGTACTGTTGTTTGTTTGCTAGGTGTGTTGTATTGTTGTTTGTTTGCTAGGTGTGTTGTACTGTTGTTTGTTTTCTAAGGTGTTGTACTGATGTTTGTTTGCTAGGTGTGTTGTACTGTTGTTTGTTTGATAGGTGCGTTGAACTGTTGTTATTTTTCTAGATGTGTTGTACTGTTGTTTGTTTGCTAGGTGTGTTGTATTGTTGTTTGTTTTCTAGGTGTGTTGTACTGTTGTTTGTTTTCTAGGTGTGTTGTAGTGTTGTTTGTTTGCTAAGTGTGTTGTACTGTTGTTTGTTTGCTAGGTGTGTTGTAGTGTTGTTAGTTTTCTAGGTGTGTTTACTGATGTTTGTTTGCAAGGTGTGTTGTACTGTTGTTTGTTTGCTAGGTGTGTTGTACTGTTGTTTGTTTCCTAGGTGTGTTGTATTGTTGTTTGTTTGCTAGGTGCGTTGTACTGTTGTTAGTTTTCTAGATGTGTTGCACTGTTGTTTGTTTGCTAGGTGTGTTGTACTGTTGTTAGTTTTCTAGATGTGTTGTACTGTTGTTTGCTTTCTAGGTGTGTTGTACTGATGTTTGTTCGCTAGGTGTATTGTACTGATGTTTGTTTGCTAGGTGTGTTGTACTGTTGTTTGTTTTCTAGATGTGTTGTACTGTTGTTTGTTTTCTATGTGTGTTGTTCTGTTGTTTTTTTGCTTGGTGTGTTGTACTGTTGTTTGTTTTCTAGATGTGTTGTACTGTTGCTGGTTTGCTAGGTGTGTTGTACTGTTGTTTGTTTTCTAGGTGTGTTGTACTGTTGTTTGGTTTCTAGGTGTGTTGTACTGATGTTTGTTTGCTAGGTGTGTTGCACTGTTGTTTGTTTGCTAGGTGTGTTGTACTGTTGTTAGTTTTCTAGGTGTGTTGTAGTGTTGTTTGTTTTCTAGGTGTGTTGTGCTGATGCTTGTTTGCTAGGTGTGTTGTATTGTTGTTTATTTGCTAGGTGTGTTGTACTGTTGTTAGTTTTCTAGATGTGTTGTTTGTTTGGTAGGTGTGTTGTACTGTTGTTTGTTTTCTAGGTGTGTTGTACTGATGTTTGTTTGCTAGGTGTGTTGTACTGATGTTTGTTTGCTAGGTTTGTTGTACTGTTGTTTGTTTTCTAGGTGTGTTGTAGTGTTGTTTGTTTTCTGGGAGTGTCGTACTGTTGTTTTCTAGGTGTATTGTACTGTTGTTTGTTTTCTAGGTGTGTTGTACTGATGTTTGTTTGCTAGGTGTGTTGTACTGATGTTTGTTTTCTAGGTGTGTTGTACTGTTGTTTGTTTTCTGGGAGTGTCGTACTGTTGTGTTCTAGGTGTATTGTACTGTACAGCAGTGCCCTGCAGCCCGTGTAACACAGACCTGCACATCGCTAAGTCATCCCTGTAACCCGAACTGAATAACTTACATTCACGACCAGACGGTGTCTCCGCATGACTGCCACCCAAGACACAAGAGGGGTGGATATTTACAGGCTTTGACAACAGCTGATACAGAATTACAGAATTATGTAACAAAGACTTTTGATTTGGTGTAACTGTCTCAATCCAAGTTCATAAACGTAATGAATGACGTTGTATGTGGTAGTCAATACCTGTCTCTGTAAACGTCCTCCATCTTCGTGATCATCTTCAGCGAATGGCAATGTTATGACACAATACAGGTTTAGATGTTACAGGATCTCACATAATCCATCGTTTGACTTACATGCGACGTTACATCTATCTTCTAGTCAAATGTTATATAAAGTGATTGTCCAGTGCGTTTCCATCATGTCAGCTGAACTTCATTCTCAGCTAGCTAATGAACTGTACACGGTAAAGAATAAGATCTACAGATGCTTACCGTTCGGGTGATCCTGAGATCGCAGACTGTTGCCCACACGACTAGCTGCGTGTATAACTCACGCTGAATAGCACTGCCTCTGATATTGAATGGCGTTAAGGATAATAACTCACTTCGACATTTCTGAAATGCTTACGCGTGATTACAGGATAACGTGGTTTTCAAATGTGAGTTGTAAAGGCGTTTAAATTAAACGATATATTTTGTTCATATTAAAACAGTAACCAAGATTAGTTATCATTACATATAAGATAGTTTAACAAAGTAGAAACATTTTTATTGCAGTGCCCCATTTTATTTGCAACGTAGGTGTCATTCCACACGTACAAGTTTGTGACCAGTAAAGTTGGTTTGATACTGGAAGACAATATATACTCTTACGATGTGTGTGTTTCTGTATCAAATAACGACTTCCATGAACGACGTGGCTCGATGGTTTCATCCCATACTTCTGTAGCAATCGAGTTGAAGGGTTTCATACATAAACCTTGGTAACTATTCTGTACAAAAAAGTTAGGGATCGTGATTATGGTGTTGGAAAACCAACAGGCATGGTCAGGACGAATCTGGGATGATATACATGTCGGTGTTTTACAATATGCTGTCTGTCATAGTATAATCATGTCACTGCATTGTATCTGACAGGTTAAAAGAAATGTCCCTAGTTTCCTGGTTACGACGAAAACCATCCTGCGCCACAGTGTCCCAATTGTCGGTAGGAAAACCTTTTATACTCAAAAACAAAGCGTGAGGGATCATGAATATTTTTGGGAGATTGTTTATGGTAGTTACGAGTGAGCACACAATTTGATAAAACATATCCAAAAAGAATTCAATCAGTCGTTCAGTATATTGAGTTTACGTACACACAAGTGAGAATGATGTGGCTCAGGATGGTCTTCATCATGCTAAGGAAACTATGGGCATTAAAGTTTCTTTTAGACTCTCACATATACATGTAATGTAGTGACATTGGTTAAACTATTACATAGAGTTGAATCTCCAAAGCGTGTCAGACAACTATATAGTTGTGGTTGCAAATCCCATTCGTCCTGATGACGCTTTTAGGTAAACGTCTAAGACCCGCATCGCTTAAAGCTTTTCCCCTACATTTGCTGACATGTCGTAATTTGGTTGGTTGATTTGTTGTTTAACGCCGCACTCAGCAATATTCAAGCTATATGACGGCGGTCTGTAAATAATCGAGTCTGGACCAGACAATCCAGTGATTAATATCATGAGCATCGATCCACGCAATTTGGATCGATGACATGCATCAACCAAGTCAGCGAGCCTGACTATCCGATCCCGTTAGTCGCCTTTTACGACAAGCATAGTCACCTTTTACGGCAAGCATGGGTTATTCACGGGTCTGGCATGCCGTGAAAAAACTAATATAGACATAAGCAACTAAAAACAATTCTATATTCATAAGAAATTTGCTAAAAGCAGAGTCCATTGTACGATTCCGACTATATCATGAACATGTTGTTTATGAATCACTAACAAATGGTGTCCACACCAGGTGTTCGCAAAAATAGCATATTCTGCCCGACAAATGGCATCCCAAATCAATAATGATGAGTTATATGCCCACATAGCATAGTTACCCCGTCACATATCATGTTTCAGTTATGAAAATATATGTTATAATATAAAAAGGCACACTGAAAAAACAAACGAATACAAGATATGTTCAGTCCATCCACAGCCTTGTGCGACATACGTACATTGGATAGATGCATCGACTATATGAGTGACAACCCATTCACCATGACACTGTTAACTGCGCCGGGGCATACTTGCCGGTCGGTTACACACAGATAGACGACAAAACAGGCTCTTTCTATTTTTATCCGATGCTAATTTTAGAATGTAGCAAACCTAAGATCTCAGCCGTTTACCACTTCGATGAAACCCACGAGCACGGGTATGGTGCTGACAAATCTAGAAACATTATCGGGGCGAACACCGGGATTCGAACCTACAATCATGGGTTTCTGGCGTGCCCAAGGGGCGCAACTCTGCACAGCGAATCGCGGAGCCTTAGACGAGAGAGAGAGAGAGAGAGAGAGAGAGAGAGAGAGAGAGAGAGAGAGAGCAGATTTAATGAGGAACCAAACACTCGTGGTTTCACCAGAGTGGTATACGACTAAGTCTTGCATCACTTCGGGCTTTCCTCTCACATCAAGCTGACACGTGGTGAGATAACTTTCAAAGGGGCGTTAAACCAAACTCACTTACACACCGACATAAAACTGTCAGCGATGCAAATGAAATATTCCGCTCTGTATTATTTCTGTACCTTATGTGAGCTACCTTTTGGCATAAATGTCCACTCATCATGATAAGCGTACCTTTTCAACGACATTTCTTTTGGAAAGCCGAATACAACACTCTGGATATATGGATGTCATACATGCTTACTTTGACCTGTAACATCGTCTTAAGCGTAGAGCGTGCCACAAATGTTTGTTGCTAGGTTTCTATTCATGCGGTGGAAGGTGCGTCGTGCTTGTGAATGTATTTATTGAGCTGAAGGTCATAGTGATCATCCATGACACAGCTAGGTGTACAGCGTGCAGAGCGAAGTACGTTGCAATGACTCAGCGCCAGTTTTAGGACTTACTGTGTATGTTGGTTCATAGGCTTTATCTCATGTGATCAACGGGCACAGTATCAATGTTATGGTTACTGGTAAATAACTTTTTTCTACTGCATAGTGAACTCGCATCAGCAAACCCAAGACCACACCTTCAAAGGTGTCAGGCACTTTCATGAAAGTGACAGATACCCATGACATGATACAAATCTGCATGTTATCTGTATGTAATATGCATTGTGTGTCCTTGAAAAAATATACGATAGAAAACATGAAGCCATGAAGCTCTTGGATTTTATTAGAAAGTATAACAAATGTAAACAAATCACTCACTATCAAATAGAGTACCTCCAGCGTACATAAACCAGTACCCACAAAGCACAGTAACCCACTTCCCCAAGGTCTAGAAGGGGGAGAGTATTAGTGTAAACCACTTATTATGGAAAAGAAATAGGCGTGATCTCATGCCTTGTTTATTAATTGTTTAGAAGACTGGAATATGCATTGTGTGGAACAGTGCTGCGGTAGTGGGTACACATCTGTATTTCGAACACAGGTACGCACAACTGTATTGTCCCCAGCGCACTGAACAGAAACAACGTGTGTTAAAGGGAGACTACTCCAGATAAATATCAGTCTTAGTTGGGTGAGTAAGTGAGTATGGTTTTACGCAACTTTTAGCAATATTCCAGCAATATCACGGCGGGGGACACCAGAAATGGGCTTCACACATTGAACCCATATCGGGAATCGAACCCGGGTCTTCGGCGTGACGAGCGAACGCTTTAACCGAGAGGTAGATTTAGATAACTTAACAAGAACGAATAAACTTGATATTCAGTGCTCCCACAGCATAAATAATAACAGAATAAAATTGTAAAAAATATCAATACCTTCCAATATCACATTGCATCAAATTTCTAAAATACATCATACATCCGCTGAACACATGGGTGTCTATATTCGAAATGGTACCTTTTTAAAACAACCACAAATCATATTCAGTCGGAACATGATCAAACGCATTCCTCTGATGTATTTGTCTTTTCTCTTGTTGCTAGGCGACAAGACAGGATACGCACGTCGTTGTAGAGTGTCTGGTCACTTTCAAACATGTCATATAATGTATCAAGTACACTGTCGATTTTGACATAGTCATCTTCGTTTGAGAGCGACCATTCATTTAGAGCCTTGTAGATTTGTTCTCTGACATCGTTAGCTTCTTCTAGTTGAATCTGGTCACATCGACTGTTTATTGTAGAGTGGTAGTCTTTGTTTCCTGTAAACCAAAAATATGAATATGTCACAAGCCGATGTCATCTTCTTTAATAAGCGGTATAAAAATCTCCATTCTGTTTTGATAAGTACCATATTCGCCATCATAACTTGGTTTTCAACCCAAAATGCATGTCTCGACGATAAAATGAGTCGCCTAATCAAATTATTCTCCTAAGCGAGAGAAACGTTGTGCTCGGTTAGAGATGGAACCAGTAGATGCGGTGTCGTATCATCATAATAGAATATAAACACTATACCCATGACACAACCAAATGGTTGGCAATATCACGGCGGGGGACATCAGAAATGGGCTTCACAGATTATACCGATGTAGGGGATCAAACCCGGGCATACGGCGTGAGGAGCGAACACTTTAACCAGGGGGCTACCCCACCACCCCTGGTTGACCAAGGCATCGACGTTTCTTGACTATCTTACCTAACGCCCTGACAACACTGATAGAACAAACCTGATATTAAACAGCCAAGGTTTTAATAAACTACTTCATGAAATGTGGAGTGAGTGAGTGAGTTTGGATTAACGCCGCTTTTAACAGTATTCCAGTCATATCGTGGCGTGTCAGCTTAATGTGGGAGGAAAGCCCGAAGTGATGCAGGTCTCAGACGTTTACCACTTCGATGAAACCTACGAGCACGGGTATGGTGCTGACAAACATAATCGGGGTGAACCGGTTTCGAACCCACAATCATAGGCTTCTGGCGTGTCTAAGAGGCGCAACTCTGAACAGCGAATCGCGGCGTCTTAGACGTCTGGGCCACCGGTGCCCCCTCGTTTCAACAGGAGCAGTAGAATTGTGATTTACAGCTTACCTGGAAGTTTTCTCATGAAACGTTTCCAATCTGTTCCTAGCCTGCTGGATAGCAGGGTGAAAACCTCATTTCGCCATACATCTTTATCTGCAAGTATTAGAATATACGCTCTTGACATTATCAGTGATCACTATAAAGGTACAAATACACACCGATACAAATATACCAGTGAGTTATTTACATGTATGCAGGGCCCGATGGTGATTGGGGTTAGAATTGACCCCCAGCAACACATGGTGGTCGAAAGAGGCGACCGAATGGATTGGTGGTCAGACTTGGTGATTTAATTGCTTTGCGTGTCGGCGTACCCCGAGGACATCGCTACTCATAATATCAATCACTAGATCGTTTGGTCCAGAATCGACAAGTTACAGCCCGCCGTCAAAAAGCTGAAAATGTGCTGCGTGCGGCGTAAAACAACAAACAAACAAACAAGCAATGATGCGGCATAGACATATGTATGTGGTTTGTAATACATTGTTAAGTACCTGGCATATCAGGAAAGATTGATTCCGATCTAACGCTTGTTATACTGCTCCCACTGAGTGTTCTCTGTTTCCTGGATGAGTTTGGATTTGTTAAAAAGGCTCGCTGAATTAGAGGACTGTCGTCACTAGAATATAAAACAATGAATATGGTTGATGCATTTTATTTAATAATTAAGATTCAATAAGTTCACAATAAGTACACATTTGTCACAAATGATACAATAACTATGTGTTAAATGCATTTTGGTTTATTTATGAAATTGGCATGACTTTCGGGAAAACATGATGCTGAATGCTCGACTGATTTTCGGTTGTATGCAATGTTACGTTTGCCATGCGAGAATGGAGAGGATGATTTAAGCGTGGCTCCAATGTACATGTAGAATCAATTGTTAAATTGAGACAGTTTATTCCACAGGTCAAACTACTGTTTTTTTAAAAAACCATCTACAACATCCAGCGATATAGTGAGTGAGTATGGTTTTACGCTGCTTTTAGCAATATTCCAGCAATATCACGGCGGGGGACACCTGAAATGGGCTTCACACATTGTACCCATGTCGGGAATCGAACCCGGGTCTTCGGCGTGACGAGCGAACGCTTTAACCACTAGCCCCCCCCCCCCCCCGATAAACTTCGTTATTACCTGTGTATGGTCGTTTTACCACGCTGTCCTGTAAGACGCAGTACGAGTAAGAAGATGGTTACAGCAATGGCAAGTAGACATACAACTGGAATCACAATTGTTGTAATGTCTGCACCGTCATTCGGATGTAGGTCATGTCTCGTTACCACCTCTGTAGAGGCTTTAGTAGTATCTGCGAGGGAAGAAGTCGTGATTATATTACATCATGATCAAAATATATTCTGATCAAGTACAGAGAAAACAGGGCCTTACCGGGCGCACAATATTGCGTCCTCTACAAATACCACTTGAGTATGGATGCAATTTATTTACATTTCAAGCCCTGGAAAAGCACTTAAGTCGAAGTTACCTACGCCTGAGACAGTGCATGGTGTCAAAGATATATATAGTTAAGGCGTCTGCGTGTATATACAATTTTCAAAAGGGATGGGGTAAAAAATATCAACGTCCTGCAACCTCCCCCCCCCCCCCCCCCCCCCCCCCTACACACACACACACCCCACCCCATCCCACCCACACACACCGACAGCCTTAGGCGAGGTGTAATTTCAACAAAGAAGTCCTCTGGAGTGGACACTCATGACACTAACTAGTAATGAACATGGTACTAATTAATAATATTGGTAATGATCATATAACTTTATATGAACAGTTGCAAAAAGGAATCTGTATACAAACTTTATAGTTGTGAATTGCCTTGCATGTTAGAGCAGACCTGTACAGACTCTCACATACAAAGAACAATATAGCCTAACTTTCTCTAATACTTACCAGTCAGTTGGTGCTGTCCACACTGAGCATCTGCAGTGGCAGTGCATGGCGACACTTGTGTCAGGTTCCTCTCCGTACATGAGGAACACACGGCACATTGACCTTTCCTGTAGAACTGACCATCAGGACAATGGCCACATTCAGTGTCAGATATTGACGTGCCTGAAACAGGTTGAACGCAAGACCATCAGATATGTGGAGAATTCATGGTTAATCTTTGTTGAACGGCCACGAGAATAAAAGTGCCCGTCGGATGCATAAAAGACACAGTAAACATCGAACTTTCTTTTAGGAAGTGCATTTGCAAATTCATATGGTTATTATTCACTGTTGAATGGTCACTATAAAACTCACAAGAATAAAGCGGTCCATCCATGGTATGACCCAGAATATGTAGAGCGCATCATGGAAAATGATAAATACACAATTCTTTGTAATGGGCCCGTATTCAGCTTCGGGCGTATCCAGGCCAACAAACCTGATCTTTTCCTGTTTGATAAATCCAATGAAATGATTATTATTGAACTTTTCTGTCACTTTTGACACCAATCTGATTGACATGATTCAGGAAACACATGGCAAATATGCAGACCTCGCTTCCGAAATGTCACGCTTGCATCCCAGGAACCAAGTTGTCCGACTCCCCATCGTTCTCCGTGCCTTAGGTTTGGTACCTCCCAATCTGTTGACCGACATTGGGAGAGTGCCCGGGTTTGCTGCCAGGAATACAGCCCTTCTGACAATCTGGGTAATGCAGAAGGCTGCAGTTTTTGGGAGACTTCACATTCTCCGAAAAGTTATCGGTGGGTTCGACTCGGCAGTGCTTCCTGGGACAAGTCCCATTCGCTGTCTGGGCTGCGTGTAGAGGGGGCAGGGGCCCTGAGCTGATGATGAGCCTAAACAGCCTGACTGTTCCAGGATCACCCAAACCCTCTTTACTGCGTTTATATTTTAATCTGCACATAATAATAATTATCATCCATTAAATACACAGGTTCTTACCGTTTCTCAGGACGACTTGTCCCTCGGGGCATGTAGTATATGCTTTACACATTTTCGTATTGAAGAATTTGTTAACCACCATGAGATAATACCCTCGTTTACACTGACACTTCAAATCATGGGTGGATGTACAATTCTC